CTGCAGGGGTTTCCGGGAGGGAAGACGGCGCGCGCGCGGGAGGTTGCGCTCCGCGGCGCGGTCGGGCCCTCCCCGGCCCGGGCCCTAGCGCGAAGCGGAGGAGGTCGGTGTACTTGACGACAGCGGCCTCGAGCCGCTGCAGGCAATCGTGGTATCGCTGGTCCTCGTGGGGGTTGGTCTCAAAGCGGCAGATGGCGACCTTGTCGAACCTGGCGGCCCGGCGTTCGACAAACCACTCGGCGACCATCTCGCGGGCCAGGACCAGCTCCCAGTCGTCCTCGTCGGGGTCCGGCACGTTGATGTAGGGCAGGACGATTTCCCTGTGGAAGTCCAGGATCCTGCAGGCCTCCTGCTGCCGGAGGAAGCGGCCCAGGTTGCCGCAGTAGCCGTAGTCCTCGGAGAAGCACCCGCAGTCCGCCACGCCGGGCCCGACCCAGTGGGCGTCGAAGGAGCGGCAAAAGACCTCGGCGCGCACCTCCTTGACCACCTGCTCGACCATGGCGCCCCTGAGGACCACGTTGGGGACCTTGCGGGCGACCATGTGCTTGGCCAAGATGGCGAGCTGCGCAACGTATTCGAACACGGCCTGCGAGGGCTCGAGGAACTCGCCGGTGAGCAACGGCAGCACGCCGTCCATCACGTCCCGGCGGGCCGTGATCCTGCGCGGGAGGCCCTTGTCGTGGACGCAGGCCGGGCACTCGCCCTCGGCGAGCTGGCACACCAGGCCGTAGTCCGTCCGGCAGGGGCCGTGGTAAGGGTGGGCGCAGTAGACAAACGACTCGTGGACGTGGTACTGCATCCCGGGCCGTAGCCTGTCGTCGAGGACCGTCGTGAAGGTGGCGTGGTAGACCCTGGCGAGCCTCCAGGCGTCGCCGAGCTTGACCATGGAGTCGCGGGGGTAGTTGGCTCGGGCGTCCATCCCTTCGTCGGTTTGTGGGCACTGGTGCCATGTCACTTTCTTGATGCACATGGCTTAGTCGGGGCAAGGCCTTCGCTACAGCAGCATGCAGCCCGGCACTGGCATGGGGCTTCTTTCCCGTCTCTCTCTCTATCTCTCTTCTTGAGCAAGTCAGTGGTGGGAAATGGTTGATAATTCGTCCAGGGCGTATTATTCGTTCCATGTCGGCCGTGGAGGGTTCGCCGGCCAGGAGATGTTTGGACGTTTAAAACCGCGATGCCAATTCCTCATGGTCGTCGAACAGCAGGCTGGTCGAACAAGGGGACGAAGCTCGCCATTGTGTTAGAACAATGGCCATGTCACCGTAAGTCAAGATCAATGGTGGTTTTGTTTATCGTTGGACAAAAGAGAGACATGTTTTGCTCAAGGGCCGTTGTTCTCCAAGTCACGAAACAGAGCAAAGCCGATGTGGTCCGCGAGGCATTGTCAATTGCATCAACCAAGGCATTGTACCACAACTAGTTCCTCTTGAACAGTAGCCGACTCTCAATTGGGCCTTCATAAGTGTGCGGTATCGTTCGGAAAACCTCGAGAAGTGTATTGCTTTGGACTTGAGAACCTCGAGGCGCAGCATGAGCTTTTTCCTTCGAGGGTCAGCGTTTTGGGTTTCGCATTCACATTTGATCTATCACAACCAAGCCGTCGGTAGCACCGCAACGGTCATCTAGCGTTGATGATGGCCTCAGTCGACGAAGAGAGGCCGATTGATGCGTCGCGTGACGTCGTCATGGTCTCGAGTACATGCCAAGTACGTCATCTCCACCGACGCCCACAGAATTCTCGGCATTAACTCGTATTGAGCTCAGCCTAGCCCATCTCCGATGACAGGATCTAAGTAAATGAAAAGGCTAGAAAAGGTATACTCTTCACAAGGAAACGGCATGTACCAACATCTAACAGTCAGATAGAGGTTGTCCTGGGAGGCCATTCCTAGAACAAGGGCGATGTGCTGGCATGATCGGCAGCACGGAAAGGGTCCCCCTCGAAACCTGGCCACCATGAAGTAGACCGCGCCAACGGACGGGGAGCAAAGGGCGATACCACGCAGAACACAGATGGAGGGTCGCAAACAGCCCAGTCATGGTCAAGGGTAAAGGGGGGTGCCAAAAAGGCCCAGGGCCACATTGTTCCGTTGGGACTGCAGGTTCATTTTCTTTTCCCCCTCTCGCCAATCACGGCGTCCATAGCATCTGCAGCAAGATGGGGACTCCCAGATTGGAGGTTGAGCTGAGCACCACCACCACCTTTGCCCAGGGGGGGGGGAGCCAGCGCCTGTAGTTGGTGTGAATCAGACCACCCCCTACTGGTTTGTGGTATCTTCTGCGCGTGGTAGATTGGGGTATGGGATGCGCGCTGCGGGTATTCTAAATAGGATTTTACTATGTAGAGCCTGCTGACGGAATATTGGCGCGAGCTGGGTGTGAAAGTCTCTGGGTGCATATTCTTGGGGGCAACCGTCGCGGGCCTGAGGACTCGAGTATCAGGCGGGTATTGATTCGGTAAAAAAGAAGAAGAAGAAGAAAAAAAATACTATCATTGGTTTGCGAAAACAATGAATGGGATATCCGTCTTTTGGGCGTAATGGTGTGCGAGAAAGTACCAAGAGAAACGATGGATACATAACGGGCCGTCTGTCCGAAGAGTAAGCTCGGGGGAGTCAGGGCAACAGCTCTGGATACGGACTGCCAAGAAGACCGGACGATCCGGGCACCAGGAAGCCGAGGTACTTTTGGTTTTCAGTGTCAACGAAGAAGGCAGGGGTGAAGGTCCCAATCATGTCTGCATTCTTAGGGGGGGGGGGGGGGGGGGAGAACCGACACTGAAGTCGTCCGGGGAAAGAAAAAAACGAAAAAAAAAAAAGGAAAAATGAGGAGAGGAGGGTAGGGAGAGGCAAGCTTCCAAAGACAGACGGACGTCGAAATGTCGATAAAAGGATGAACGGAAAGACAAGGCCAAGGCTGAACCGTAATGCCAAATGAAAACATTCAAGAAGAATGTGAATGGAACAATATGTCCAAGGAAAAAGACTCCCAAATGTCCCTTATGCCGCGTCTCGATCTTGAGATAAGTCCTACCAACCAACCCCATGACAAATAAAAGATCAAGGACCAAACCTTGTACAGGCCAAACGCCGCCTCCCGGTAACCCTCAGAAGACAGCTTTTTATGCGATAAAACTCCGTTTTTTTCTCTTGTTTGTTCTTGGTCAATCCAATCATGCCAACCGCGGTATGGCGATGCGGTGTGATGCAATGTGACGCGATGCAGTGCGATGAGACGGGCTGCATGGCAGGATGATATCATCTCATCCTCTCACACGTGCGCGTATTACATGGATTGCTGCTTTTGGCGAAATTCGCGCCGTCTTTCCTCGATCTTGAAGCCATCCTTGGGACACTCCCACCCGTTCTCTTCGATCTTGACCCTGTCGAGGCATTTTGTGCAGCGCCACCACTTGGGATAGATTTTGCGCTCCTGCAACCACGAGTCCGACATGTCGCCCGTCTTCTTGTCCACGTCTTCCTTGTGAACGTCGGTAAGGTGGACGCGCAAACGGTCTTTGCGGCTAAAGGGCTCGCTCTTGCGGGTGCAGGCCGGATAGTCGCAAAGAAAGGCCCCGTCCTTCTCCTTGCCTGTGGCGCTGACGCTGTTATTCCTGCTCCCTGCGTTGGCTCCCGCGCCAACGCCAACACCAGCGCCCGCCGCGCCCGCCGCGCCCTTGACCTTGCCGCTGCCTGACGGGTTCTTCTTGGTGGTGATCTTGGGACTCGGGTTGCTGATACTCGTCGCGGGCGTGATGTCTTTGAGAGAAAGAGCGGGCGACGGCTGTGTTTGGCTGTCCGCGTGGGCTTGAAGGTAATGCCGGTCAAGGTCTATTTTGCGCTTGAAGGGCTTCGAAGGACATGCTGCCGACAAGCACGTCCATTCAACGTCTTGATGTTGCTGTATAGGCGATTTGCTAGTGGCAACGAGCGGTACTACGTTTGGCAGCTGTTCTGAAGGTGCATGTTGCTGCTGCAATTGCCAGAAGCCGCCATCGTCGGTCGGCACGTAGTCATACTTGGAGCAATCAAAGTCGGCGTATGGTGTTTCGGGCCTTTTTTTTTTATCGGGATCAAAAATCAGTAATGGAAGCTTTACATGGAGCGGATGTGATTGAAAAAAAAAAAAAAAAAAAGGCACAGTGGTTCGTGCAAGGGGAGGTCTGCCTCGAGGGTCCATTTGAAAGGTAGAAAACGGCAGTGGAAACATGTATAAAAACGGAAATAAAACAAAATAGACTTGTCGTCGATCAAGACTCACCATGACTCGGTGATGGGCATGTTGGCACCACCTCTATTCAAGGCGGCGTACGGGCGTTTTGCGGCCGTGGGAGGGGCCATGATGGACATTGCCAGGCTTTCTTCTTCTTTTGCCCGACGGGGTTTAAATCAGCGATGGTTTCTCGTTTCCCCAGGATTGCGAATCTGTCCTTTCCATCGCCGTCCCCCCCTCGTGTCGCTTGACTCCTTTCGTTCGTCTCGCAACCAAACAAACAATCAACCGGTCAATAGGGGGAGATAATCCCGACTTTTTGCGACCGAACAAACATACAAACCAGACAATCAATCGATTTGGATAAACGTAAAGAACAGATCATACCTTCCGGCTTGGTGGGGGGCATGGGTAGAGCGCAGGTGCGCGGCAATGTACGGGGGGTCTGCGTCAGCCACCGCTCGTATAGTCGTCGGCGTTTTCGTCTTGGTCGTCGTGCTTGTTATCGCCCGTGTTGTTGTTGTCGTCGTCGTCGGCGGCGTCGGTTGTCTAGGTCAGACGAGGCCGGGGCTGATCCAGATTGATGATGGCCGAGTCGTCATGAGACGGCGGCAGGTAAACGGAGGCGGGATGGTTGAAGGAGGGAAGAAGTGGACGGAAGGATCATTTCATAGTGAGTGGCCCTCTGGTCACCGACGGGAAGGATGAGAACTGCGAGTTTGCGGGAAGGGGGGGGTAGAAAAAAAAAAAGAGACGGTTTGGCCCTTAATGGTCTCTCGGTTGTTTGCTCGATCGTTCCTCCTCTGGGACCAGGAGATGATTATTGCTTTTCTCCCCTCACACTCCCGGCTGCTGCCCCTTCCTACGGTTACTACTACTGTACTTCTATTCCTACTCCCGCGGCCACTGGACCGGGGCACACACACACACACACACACACATCGAGCCCATGTCAGCCTCCTCGCATCAATCAGGTCGGATCTGGGCGAGAGCCAACCAACGGGAAGGGGAGCCAACGCTTGCTGGCCAAAAGGGGAGAGAAAGAGGCAAAACAGCAATCGGTCCAGCTCGGAAGGACGGGACCAGGTTGGAACGTAGGTGGTTTGGACAAGGTCCTGGCCAGGTTCAGGTACGGCGGCACATGCAGTCAATACCCTCGCTTCGGGGAATGAGAACGAGTGATTGGGGGGGGTAGCTCGCGTTGGAAGGTGCATATAGCTCTCTCATAGCTGTCCCGTGTCTCCCTGTTCGCCTGTCTGTAATTACCAAGGTACGTATGTAGTAGGTACGGATGCAATATCTAATCAAGGGACAGCACAGCTGCAGCAACAGTTCTTGCGACAGCAAAGCAACTGCTGCTACAAAAAGGGCATGGTACGTATCCCATCCATTGCAGCGACAGCAACGTATCTGGTGAGCGTGGCGGGGTTCACGCTGTTTGCCCAATCCTGGAAAAGGACGGCACGCCTGGTTCGGCGTCGAGCAGGAGGGAGAGGGGGGGTGTGAGGTGAGAGAGCTCTCTCTCCGTCCCCCAGGATGAGTGTGGTAGGTAGGGAGAGAGGGCCGGCCAGGATGGGGGATGGGATGGATGTCTGGGCGTGTGACTCCCAGCTCTTACTTCACACCCCCGGGTCACTCGCTTGGCGCGCGAGAATGAGGGATGAGATGTGATAGAACACCATCAGCAGCAGTCACGTCACGTAGTGCGCTTCTGCTTCTGTTCTGATGCAACAAAGGTGTCCGTCCCTTCGGATGTATTCGTATGGAAACTGTGTATGAGGACGAAGAGGAAAGGCAAAGCAAGTCTGTTGAACAAGGTACCGGAGAGTAAGTACCTAGGTAGGCCGGGCAGGCGGATAGGAGACGTAATGACCTGGGATGAATGAGAATAGAAACGAGATTTCAATAACAGTACCTAGTTCAAAGTAAAAGAGGTCTAGAAGATTGGGATCGGAGGGGGAGTACGTTAGAGGGGGGGTGGTGTGGTGGTGGTGGGGGAGCGGCGACGGCACGGGTGGAGAGGACGTGCGCCGCTTCCATCCCGACCCCCATCGACAACGTTCGCTGCGTCCGTGTCTGTTTGAACCGGACGAGACGAGGCGGAACGGGATAGCCCGGCATCGTTTTAGAGAGCGAGCATCTCGCGGGAGGTGGCGCTGGTTGCAGCATTTGTATCGCTTACCTGTGCTGGGACTTTGCATGGATGGGGAGAGAGAGAGAAGGAGAAAGAGGAAGAGAAAGAGAATCGGTAATGTAAAGTGCAGGCAAGCAAGGCCGGGGAAGGGAGAGGGTAAAGCTAGGCAAGGAAACGAGATGAACAACGCTACACTACGGAGTATCCGTAGACGCAGCAGCTATCGAGTATTTTACCTCGAAGCAAGCCAACATGAGCAGAATGGAGCTCGTGTCGTGCAGAGAAAAGGCCATGGCACGAGGTGTCACGACATGCATAGAGTGTGTATATATGTGCATCGTGTGGTATGGTATGGTATGGTATGGTGTACTTGGACATACACGTACACTTACAGACTGGACTTGCATCTCGAGCTTCAGCGAGCTTGACCTGGGTTACCAAGGTGTGCTCGCAACTTCACCTCGACGTCCATCCGTTGTTGTCCATTCCGGAATGCCGAGTCAGGGACCCTGGCTGCTGACCGAGTGGCTCAGTGGATACGGGGCGAGATTTCGTGATGATCAACGAGCATGGAGGATGGATCCAACACGGATTCGGGAATGAATGGGTGGGGCCTTTTTTTTAGTTTTTTTTTTAGAACTTTGGTGCTCCTATCCGTACTCCGTAGGTAATAGCAATTCGCTCACTAGCGGCAGCAAATAATAGAGGTGGGAGAAGGAAGCAGGAAAGCAGGAAAGAAAGCAGAGGCCACGGTGAGATGGGACTCGTTTGTGGCTTACTGCGCTTGCTCCTCCGATTGTGGTGACACATGGCTCTCGGAACGCGGTTCCGATAATTGTTACAATAGCTTCGGCAATGCCTTTTTACCGTTAAAGTACGTGTACGATAAAGTGAGGTGGACAGACGTGTGCCGCCAAGATGGCGTATGTGTTTTGAGCGTTGCAAGTAGATTGTTTACGTACGTGTACGTGTATGCCTTTCAGCCTCGGTCGGGGTTTATCCACACAAGCTTGACGTGACGGCCTTGCTTTCGAGACTGGGGCTTCAAACGGTAGTTCGAAGTTGACAAGCATGCGAGGCGTTGGTGATTGTCTGAGACTGCAGAGACATTAATGCCGCGGCCTGCCTGACATGATATTTAACTCGTTGCCCGTTTTCCTACTCGTGTTGAGGGAGAAAGGAAGGGTAAGAAGAATAAAATAAAAATCAACGAGAAATCAATAAATAAAAACTCGTCTAGCTCGGCCGTCATCCTTGCTACAAATCTAGGTCATTGGCCTCACGTCACGATCAGCGGGCAATGGCTTCACTTTATCATCGCTCGGGGCATCTGGTATTGGGGGGGGGGGGGGGGGGGGCGTTCTCGGGGGCCAGCCACGACACTACCCACTAGCCCAACATGGGTTCCTGACATGCCCGCAACTCTCTCTCTGCCTTTGCAATACCTACCTATTGGACGGACTGTTGGAGAACCCGATGAGCGATGGCTGAGGGGCGGTGGCTAGTGCTTCCCACCGCCTCCGGGTCTCATCATTAAGAAACATGGGGTCCATCTCTCTCTGTCTTGTAACGGCATGGATAGACCGGAGCAGCAAGCGGGCAGATGCGGTGTGGGAAGGGTCGGCAGCCTCGCAGTGTGACTTGGCCGGCTCTGACTTGCTGAAGCTTGCATGAAGTGGCCCAACCTGCCTGTCGAACCGATTCGTGCCATGATGCTTGCTGGCTGTGTCTTTGGATGGAGCTGGGCCCGTCCTGTCATGTCCTGCTTGTGTCTTGCTCTCACCCCGTCCGGATGCGTCAGAAGCAAGGCGAAAAGAAGACCAAGGAACGCAGCAGACGTGGTAGTGTCATACCAAAGCAAGACCCATTGGATACGGTGTAGCATTAGTTGCAGCCCAACAATCTGATATACCACCACCACCACATCCACCAAGACGAGAAAGAAAAGTCTGTCTCTGGTGCAAGAGGGGCGGTCAGAGCTCTCTTCATTACCCTTGGGTTGCCCATGTCCCCATCCCCTCCGTCGCTTCTTTTCCTCGTCGATTCTTTTCCTTGTTCCTTTCTCTTCTACATCTTGCACCGTTACCTGTTGTCACTTCTCTTTTCTGGCTGCCAAAGTCGGAAGGGTGGACAGTGGGAGGAGATGCATCATCACGACCAGTGACATCTTTCTTGTTCTTTGCAAGGGGCGAAAGGGAGGAAGAAACCCGTCCCAGGAACGACGAGAGGCGAGCGAGTCCCCGCAATCGACTCGCCTCAGCACAGCACAATCCGGCGACCAAAGAATCGGAAACCCTAAGCAGAAGGGTGAAGAAAACAATCTCGACCTCGGTTGAGGGGAGAAAGAAGCTAGGTGACCGAACGAGGTATGTGCATTTGATGCAGCTTTGCTTGCACCTGCTGTTCCTGCCCATTCGCACTGCATCATCCTACCTACCTACCTACCTACCTACTTGGGCAGTCACCGCCCTCTCTCTCTCGGGCAGGTGCTCTTTCCCCTTTCCTGCTTTCCCCCTTCCTCCCCCTTTCTCTCTCCTTCCCCCTTCGTACCGTACAACACATCCCTTTCGTCTCTGCATCCCACATTTGCCATTGGGCATTTGGCATTCGCCCTTCTCCCAGCTTGCAGCCCACCGGATTGCTCTTCCATCCGGCTGCTGGACCTGTGTCTTGGCGACTAAGAGAGAATGTGTGTGTGGGGGGGGCAAGAGCGAAAGAGACTGAGAGTTCTGTCGTGTCTGCTTTTTTTGGCAGGAAACATAGACAAGTGAACTGGCTGCCCCATATTCCCATTCTTCTCCACTGTAACACATCATCCAACCAACCAGACGTGCGGGATCATCGACCTACACTACAAAAATACGTACCCCCCCCTGAACTGAACTGGACTGACGAGAGAGATTACGGATCCAGTCAACTTGCTGAGCAAAAGGGACGGGGACAAAAAAAAAAAAGAATCAGGTATTTCGGCATTGTGTTGCCGAGTCACGACGGCCACGAATCGCAACAGCATCAGCAACCGCGACTTTGTTGACTTCCGTCATTCACCTTATCCTGCACCATCCTGCATATCGCCCTCTCCAGGCACCCGGCCACCCAATACCTACCTTAGCGCAGTCAACGCCTCCAAATAAGTACGTACGCGTTCCGTTCCCGCGCGTCGAAAAAGCTAATTCCACATGGAATGGAGCTGAAAAGACACATGGCCTGAACCTCCTCAATTGTTTCAAACCCATCATACATAGTCTCTCCTCGCCTGTCAACCCTGCCCACGACGCTAACCCTCACCCGCTTAAATAGAACACGCTGTGTCTCTTGCCGCCAACCAAAGGGCAGCCATCCTCTATAAACCCTTTTGCCTCTCTTCTCGACATCGAACCGACCTCCCGTCACCCGCCATCACCACCCCCGACGCCTAACAATCAACCACCCTTGCGACGTCCCATCCATCACATCACACCGACACCATGTCTCGCATCCAGATCCCCCTCGACGCCTTGACGTCTCGCCTCAACCTCCAGGACCGCCTTAACAGCATGCGCTCCGGTGGCTTGAGCGGACGCTTCGCCAACCTGCGTCCCATCTCCGAGTTCTTCGACATGAAGCGCCTCTCCAAGCCCGCCAACTTCGGCGAGGTCCAGTCGCGATGGAACTACAATCTCTCCTACTTCTCCAGCAACTACAGCGTCGTCTTTCTGATGCTCAGCGTCTACGCCCTGTTGACAAACTGGGTCTTGCTGTTCGACATCATCTTTGTCATTGCCGGCATGTTCCTCATTGGCAAACTCGACGGTCGTGACCTCGAGATCGGCACATTCAGAGCCACCACCTCCCAGCTCTGGACCGGTCTCCTCGTCATTTCCGTGCCCCTCGGCCTGTATGCCTCGCCCTTTGCGACGCTGCTGTGGCTCGTGGGTGCTTCCGGCGTGGTCGTCCTCGGCCACGCTGCTTTTATGGACAAGCCCATCGATGAGGCTTTTTCCGGGGAGGCGGTCTAGATGGTCGGCCGCGAGCTCCCAAATTTGCGCCCCAATGGGGAAGACCATCAAGGCGCGGGCGGAGGAAAGAGGGAGCGCCGCAACAGGGGTCCTGGGAGGATGGAAGGAGAGTTGTCGAGGAACTCGAGACAGAATTGGAAGATTCAGATACGCAAGGCGTTGGTTTGCTTTCGCGAGGGCAGCGCTTTGCCAGCGACCCGCTCCGCTTTACGGGTACGGACTTGAGTGGCAAGGCTGCTGTGGTGCGGAGAGGACACGGATATCGGCATTCAGACGAGGACGACGAGGACGACGAAGACGACACCGAGGACTCTGAAGACGACTCTTCCGACCAAGACGACGACGAAGAAGAAAACGAGATTGACTGGGAGCTCTTGTCACCAAAAGAGCGGGACGAGGCACTGGCGCAGAGAGCCCTCGCCCGCGTACGGCGCGCACAGGAACGGGGCAAGCTGGAGGTCAACCTCAGCAAGGAGGAGATGGCGGCCCTCGAGCGGCGGAGGAAGCGCATGGAAAAGGAGGCGCGCAAGCAGGAGCGCAAGCAACGCCAAGAAAAGGAGCAGAGGTTCGCCATCCCGCTGTCCCAGTTTGAGCCGACGTCTCGCAAAAGGTCGCCGACGATGACTGCCGAGGACGACCTGCCGCGCCATCCGTCCCCGGGCACGTTCGCCGAAGTACAAACGCGAGGTCCGCTACCGCCCATCGGTTACTTCCCACCGCCCAACGCTTCTCGTACCCGAACCCGCTCGGCAACTTCGGCTTCTCAGCGACCCACTCACCGTCAGCCTTCGGACATGTCGCCGGCGTCGTCGGCCACGTCCTCCATGTCAAAGTCGCGCTCAAATGTCGACCCCTTCCAGTTTCAGGTCGAGGGCCCCCAAGTGGCCGCCTCGCGACGCAACGCCTCGGGCTCTACAGACGGACGTCGGTCCTCGGTTGCACCCCCGGTGACGCGAAGTTCCCGGGCCTTGCGCGGTCCGCCGCCACCCGAGGAGGACAGCAGCGAAGACAGCAGCGAGGAGAGCAGCGAGGAGAGCACCAGCGACGGCACGGGCGACGGCGCCCAGATTGCCCAACCACCGCAGCCGCCGCCTCCGACGACGAGACGTGGCCGCAAGGAGGCCGTTGTCGTGGAGGAGGCCGCCACTCGTGAATCGGCGCGTGGGGTTTCGCGGGGCAAGAAATCTGCCAACCCGTCGCCGTCCAAGAGAAAGCCTACGAACAGTCGGAAGAAGAAGAAATGAGTCTTGGCCTCTGTCCACCGCTGGTCTCTCAAGAGTCTCTCACATCACCCGTATCTTGTATCAATTATATAGAGTCTTGGTTTCTCAATCGACGTCCCACCACCGGGTGTCCTACAAAATCCGTTGTCTTTGCGTGATATTCAACTCAATGGGAAGATCCGTGGGATTATATAGCATTGCTGTCTGTGATCATAAATCGTTCTCATGATAATGGTATCGCGCAAAAGGTATATAGGTAGATAGATATACATGGTGCGCCGTCATGGTCCGAAGCTCTCGCAGGCTCCACCCGTCCCAGGGCCGCCTGCACAAGGAACGGACCAACAGAGGAAGCAAGAACCATGTGCCCCCCTTGTAACGCCGCCGAAAGCAAGCAAGCAAGCAAGAACCTTGAAAAAATAAAAAAAATAAAAAATAGCAGACGACCACCCAACCCATTGGAATCATGATGCATGGCAAAAACAAAAAAGAGGGACCCGTGTGGGGAACGAGGGAGGGAGGTGGGGACCGCAGCTTCAGATGAACATCTTGGCAACGCCGCTCATGAGGCCGTCAGTCCAGCCGCCGCTATCGCGCTCCACGCTCCTCCTCTCCCACGCGTAGTCCCCGTCGTAGCCGCGCTCGACGTGGGCGCGACTGCTGCCGCCGGCGCCGCTGGCCATGCGGACGGCCTCGCCGACGAGGCCGAGGGAGTCGCCCGAGGCGGCCCTGGCGCCGATGCCGATCATGCGCTCGATGCCGGGGGGCAGGCGCAGGCCGAAGCGGGCGAGCAGGGCGGTAAGGAAGCCGCCGGTGATGAGGGGCATGATGACGAGGGCGACGACCTTGTAGGGGTGCTTCTTGGCGTAGTAGACGAGGTCGCGCCAGAGGCGCTTGACCTGCTTGAGCGTCTTCTGGACGAAGCCGCTGCGGGGCGAGCGTTTGTAGTACGAGGGGCGGCCTGGGAATCGGGTGGTAATAGAAGCGTTAGTTTGGCATGTCTCGGGACGGGGGTTTTTTTTTTTTTTTTGGTTTTCTTTTTTCCGTCTCGCCTGTGTAGCACGAACACAGAGTGTCACGGCATCAAGAGAAGAAAGAGGGTAAGACGACGAGAGAGAGAGAGAGAGAGGGAGAACTAACCTCCGAGGCCGAAGAAGGAAGAGCGCGAGGCATTGGGGATGCCGAAGAAGGAGGAGCGGGACGAGTTGTGCTTGTGGTTGTCGGGGCTGCCGGCGCCGAAGATGGAGGCGGCGATGCCCGGGACGCCGCCGGCGCTGCTGCTACCGCCGGCGTGGTGGCGCTTGCGAGAGCGCGACGAGGAGTTGGAGCGGGAGCGATGCTTGCTGCTGCTGCTGTGGTGCTTCTTGGAGACGCGGCGCGAGTGGGAGGAGCGGGCGGAGAGGACGCTCCCCGTGTCGAAGTTGAAAAAGCCCATGGTGATGGTTTTCTTCTTTTCGTTGTTAACTCCCCCGGTGGTGGTGTTCCTCCCGTCTGTGCGAGACGAGGAGGATGTAGAAGGGGTGGAGAAGAGACGAGCCGGGATTGGGCTTGTCGTGGTTGATGGGTTGCGGAGGAGGTGGAGGAAGGGATGGGGACGTTGAAAGGTATGTGTGCGATTGAGAGAAGGGAAGGAAATGTGGAAGGTGAGAAAGAGGAAAATGAGTGGTGAGACGCAGGTGGGAAGGGAAAAGCCCACACACACACAACACAAAGGGACAGACTCGGCAAACCCTTGTGTGCGGCGTGCGATATGCGAGGCTGGAGAATGCGACCCTAGGGGGAGGGGGAAGGGGAGGGGGAGGCGAGGAGGAGGATGTTTGCGAGTCTTCCTAGCTTCGTAGCGAGCGGGCTTTTGCTTCTTTCTTTCAGCGTGGCGCGCGATCAGCGGGCACGAGATATAGTGTAAAGGCGTGGGAGAAAGATTGGCGAAGGGGGGGGGCGGCGTCCGGGGTTGGCGAGCTATGACTTTAACGACATGGGCTTTAATTGAAGCCAAGCCCAATGAAGCGGGAAAAGGGAAGCGAAGCTCACGAACCGGTGGGATGGGCGAGATAACGGGGGGGGGGGAATTCCCAAGTCGCTTTTTGTAAGAGCTGGTGGTGGACCGACTCCCTTTTTGTTCTTGTCTTCTTTTTTATATTTGCCTTGGGTGGTCTTATTTTATTCAATTGGGTTTTTTTTTTTTTTTTCTTCACAGGACTGCCTTTTTTCATTTTCTTTATTTTTTTTACTTTCTGTTTCGAATCTTGGCGCGCGAACAGGAAAATGAAGGATGCAAGCAACCAAGGCATTCTTAAAAAAATGCGCATGCATGCAAGCAATCGGTCCACGGTTGAGCAAATGGGAGGTTTTACGAAACCCCGCCCTCCCCCCCTCTCGCCCCAGTCCGCTGCACGCCCAAGTCTGTCCTGATGCTGAGTGGACGGGGAGCGGGCGGCATGTGGGAAAATCTGTCGACTCCTTGCAGGACAGAGAGAGAGACTCTTGGGACATCAGGTCTGGTCTGGACTCTTGGGCCGAGGGACAGGTAGGAGGTTCCCCATCCAGCCCGGGGGGGTTTCCGTGGTTCGGCCAATCGAGCCGGGACAAGTCCTTCTCTTCTGCCTCTTCACGTTGTATCAGGCCTTTCACCGCTGCTTTTGCTCATATTCGTTCCATGTTTTGTCTGTTTTCTGCGCATTGACTTGCCTAGATAGCACGCTGGCTCGCAGGTCGGATGAGAGAAAATATGACGAGATAGGGATCCTGTTCGAAGACAGTCAGACAAAAATGGGGAGGTGGTGGATGTGATGTGTGTTTGAATCCAGGACGGGCTCCGGGCACGGTTTCACAGGGTCCCTTCCTCTCCCCCCCATTCTATCACGTCGTCTCATGTTCTCGTGAAGCTAGTTCAGAAGACTTGGCGGCTTGATGCTTGGGGTTGATGCACATGAATGCACATACATAATTAACACATACCATATTGCATTATACATGCGCCACGCTAGACGGCTTCGGGGCGCATTCCTAGTTGATCAGTTGCGGTCTGGTGGGGATACGAGGGGTGTCCATGGTTCGTTTCTTAGTAGTAGAGCCCGAGATACCTACTTGTACATGGAAAAGGTTGTGTATCATCATCTCTGGTTCTAGGAAAGCAGTCGAGCCTGATGTACGGAGTACCGTTACCCAGATGGGTCCGGTTCCCACTCGAGCTTGACAAAACTGGAGGCGACGTGTCCTGGAATAGCGTGGGACTCGGTTCGGCACCTGTCATGTATTTGGCCGTGCTTGGTGCCTTACTTCTGCTCTGGTCTGATTCACCATTGTCGTCTCATATGGATTTCACCAAGTAAAGAGAGGGCCATGGCAAAACAACATCTTGCTCGCACGTCGTATATGAACTAGAAACGAAAGAAGCCCGGGCTAATATCTAACAATGGCGTTGGTTCCCAAGGTCTATGGTATCTCGTACAAAAAAAAAGAAAGAAAAGGGAAAAAAAAGAAAAAAAAAACACCCAACATGATGCCCTGCTTTGCATCCACAGCCAGTGCGTGTGCTGTTGCCCACCCCAGTAAGCGGGGGCATCGAAAGGTTTATGCCACGAGTCCTATTGACCTGGGTTGGGCTTGGCTCCCGACCCCGGCCTCGACGATAAGCCCTCTGCCCCGTTCCATCCATGCCGCGAACCCTTCCAGGCTCTCGTCGCCGGGGAAGTCGTCCCAGACCTCCCTCTGCGTGTCCGGGTACCTTGAGCGGATGCCGCTCAGCGTCCCGATGTTGGTCCATACTGGGAGCCGTCTACGGACGTAGCAGTAGTAGAAGTACAGCACTCGACACAAGGACTGGACCCGCTGCTCGACGCGCTGCCGGTTGGCCGTGTCATTGCCGTCGCCCTCGTCGTCGCTCGTGCCGACGACTTCGGGCGCCGCGGCCCACCACGATAGCCGCCACCGTAGTGTCAAGAGGATACGGCCCAGGCTCTGCAGGAATGCTAACACCCTGCCGTCCTCCATTGTCCCCGACTCATGCAGAAGGCGCTGTAGGTGCTGGTAAGCCTTGACCTCGAGCTTGCGGCACATGATCCGCGCCAGCTGGGCTGCGAGTATAAGGTTGTCCGCTTCGTCTGAATCCTCAACGTTCATGGGCTGCTCGCCCACCGCCCCCACCGGTGTAGGGTAGTAAGGTTTGGATACGTAGGAGAAGCTGGCACGGCTGGGCATGTTGTTGACACTGGAAAGCAAAGAAAGCCAATCACCCCACGGTGTCGCCGTCTGCGTCATGCACCGTTCCCAGTCGTCGTTCCTCGGGTCTGTTCGAAGAATGTCTCTGTCAATGAAAGTCGCAAAATCATACTCGCCGGCATCCATCTGTTGTCGGAGGCCTTGGATATATTTATGGCAACAATCGAGGTCAAGGACGTAAAGGGGCCGCCCGTCTTGGTAAACCTTGACGTTGAACTTCTGACGCGCCTGGTCCAACCTGGCCAGAAGTACGTTGAGGTCGATCTGTCTGGGAAGCTCCCGACGAATGCGTGTGATGTGACCGAGTGTCGGGTGGTGGATGGCATGCGAAGCTGGAACAGAGTTAGTACATCTTGACACCGAAGAGAAGCGGATTATACGACTTACAGACGTAGTTGCACGAGCCGGCGAGGATAAGATCCTCAAAATGAGCTTTGATGCATGGCCCCGGCCACCTCTGAGAACCGCCATGCTTTTTGCAACCGTTACAAGATCCGTCGAGAGAGTCGTTGTCGTCTCGCTTGCACTGAATGTGGATTAGCAATTATGCCCATCCGCATGCAAGTGACATGACATACCTTCTGTTTGGAATGTTTGCATCGAATGCATACCATCTTCCTGTTTCGCGTTTCCTTGGCCTGGCCACGGGAGACCGGGTCCATCGGCCCCTGTCGACGTCCACGCGCGGGGCCCGGTCGGCTCAGCCGAGGCATTACGGCCTGGCCATCGGTGGGTTGGCCGGGATCGGTCAACCTTCTGGGCCGAGAGGCGATGCTCATAGGTAAAGCAACACCCGAGACCCTCGCTGGGTCCGTCGAACGCATCCGCTGAAACCGAGGGCTCTCTGCGGCGGAGGGAAAGCAGGCCCTGGGGTTCTGAGTAGGACTTACTCGGGGCGATAGATTTGCACTGCTCGTGGTTGGTTGAAGCCGAGAAGCCGATGCATGTGGTCTCACGTGAGGATTCATACGGCCAGGGTCTGACTTTCGACGAGCTCGGCGCGATGGGACCGAGAGGCGGCCCACGGCATTGGCTGCAGAAGCTTGCGGCATCGGTACGCTTCGGGGTTCCGCCAGTTGGGCGGCGGCGTAAGTCGCCGAGAGGTAGTAGTCAATGGGATGTGTTTCGGAGGCCATGAGGAATTCAGACGTTGCGAAGTCGTCGATGTCGCCCATCGTCACATCAGGCTTCTCTGGAGGAACGATGACGAAAGAGGGGCCCGGCTGGCTTGCGACGTCTGAAAAGAAGGCTTCTGAGAGGGGCGAGTCGTCGGGCATGACCTCGTCGAAGGACCCCATCGCATCGTTGCTGGCGCACAAACTCCACTGGTTAAAGTATTCCGAGGAGGGACTGGTACCACTAGCATGGTATAGACTCTGGTCGGCCAGTCCCGTCGACAAGGCGCTAGTATTCTGTCTCGGGAGACTTGTCGGCGTACTTGCAGAACCAATGCCTTGAAGATTGCTATTGGCGTTGGTGATGGATGACTGGGAGGCCCTCATTGCGTTCCATGAGGAAGCACCGGCCCTGAAACTCTCTGCCTGGCTGCTGAGATATGGGCATCGTGAAGAAACGAGACTGTTCTCCAGGGAGGGATTCGTCGACGGGTTAGCATCGGAGAAGCTTGTGCCTGGGCTGTTGATGTCGGACAGGACGGTGTCGCCGTAGCTGGCACTAAAGCCGACATCATACAAATCCTCGGGGAGGCTGATGACGATAGACTCGTCGTCGATTCCTGTGGAGCTTGCTCGACTGCTCGTAGCAGCGATATCGTACGAGAGTGGTTTGGCAGCATCAAGATGGATGTCGTTATCAATGGCAAGGTCGAAGGGTAGATCGGTGGGACCGGCCAGCGCCGCATCGACCAACGTCCAGGACGATTGAGTGAGAGAGTTGTCGTGGACGCCAGGGTCTGGAAGTTCGTCATTGAAGTCCCTGGTGGGCGTGTTAATGTGTGTGTGTGTGTGTTGGGGGTTTCCAAGGCTGGGTCTTGTTAGGCGGAACTCACTTGATGAGGGAGGCATCGTTCCTCGGGGCGTCAGTGCTGAGGAGGCGGGCGCGTCCGACGGACTGAGCAGACGGGCCACCGTTCGGCATCCATGGCGGGCCGGAAGGGTCGTCAAATGGTTGGGCGGCCCATGGGAATGGGATATTGGCGTTGGTGTTTGTATTGAAAGAGTGTGTCATGCCCACACAATGTTAGTTTTCACGGGAACTTGCGGCTTATGGAATTCGATTAATACGGAGGCTGTGTTTATAGAGTTTTCCGGAAAGGTGGCAGGAAGGTGTGTAGGCGCAAAAGAAAAAGGGAAGCAGCATCTTATGTTTGCACGACGGGGAGGGGAGCCTTGCTTGGTGGGAGGGGGAGCAAATGGCATGTGAGGCATGCGAGATCAAGGCACGAAGACGACGAGGGCGAGTGAGTGTGATGGATGATGCTGCGCGGTACTTTTTGTCCGGGATCTTGGTGCACACCCACCTATTGGAGCCACGGCTACTGTACGGGCGGGAGACCAGTGCGTCTCGGTGAGTTACAGAAGAGGATGAGCTCCGATATAGGGCGACAAGTTTAGTTTAGTCGACGACTTTCCTCTTTCCTCGGCACACCCCGAACACAGAGAGCAGAGCTCATGTCTAGGTACTCCTCCTCCTCCTCCTCCTCCTCCTCCTCCTGCTGCTGCTGTTGTGTTCCCTAAGGCAATCCGTTGACGGCGCGCCCATGTAGGTAAATCATTTTGTCAGCAAACCATGACGGGGCGAGCCCATGTTGGCTGCCCGAAACCTGACTGCCTGCCTGCCTGAAGCCATCCATATGCATGGGCAAACCGCAAGGCGCACCGCCGTCACGGGATGCCTCGTCTCAACTTCCCTAGACCTTGCTTGTATGGTCCACGATACGAAATGAGGCATTATTCCATCTCGACGTACCTCAGCCAAGCGGGCAAGTGCTGGGAGACACCCTTTTTTTGCACATTTCGCCTTGATCCTGTTCGCGGCTCCATCCCATTCGACCCTGCCGTTGTCGGCGGGCAACCATGTGTGATTCACACTGTGTGTTGTTCCTCGGACAAAACACCCACTCCTACGACGAGGACGACCATGTCGGAGCCAAGTTATCGGACAATACAAACCTGGCTCCTCCTTCTTCGCACCTAGGTAGCTTCCTGAAGTGACCGAGCCTATCATACTTGGCCCAGCCAGCTACAATCTGTCCCGGAAACTCACGTCTACACCACCCACCCACCCATCTCCGTCCGCCGGGCCTCAACCGCCAGCCTGATTTCTCTTTTCTTTTTTTTACCTTCTTCTTTCCTTCGCCCGCCTTCTCGAACTCTTTGTTTCCTTGTTTCTGCTGCGGCTCAGGCTAGCCACTCGGGGCGGAATCCGGACTGGAGAGACACCTTGGCTTGGCGCTGTTGCAGTCATCATCCATCCTGCTGCCTGATCCTCGACAAGGGACCATTCTCCCTCTCACAAGGACCTCGCCGACTCCCGAGGAATGCGGCTCTTGGTAAATACTTTTACCTCCCGCCGCACCATGACGCAGTGCAACACCGTTACTGATTCGCCTCCACCCGTAGCTTGTCAACGATGACGGCCCCCCGTCCTCCGTCTCGCCCTACTTCGCTCCCTGGGTCGACGCCTTGCACAAGGCTGGCCACACAACGGTCGTTGTCATCCCTGACCGTCCGCTGTCTTGGATCGGAAAGACCCATGCAGTCGGCAAGACCTTGACCGCCGCAAGCAGATGCCCAGCGTCCTTTGCCAACGAGACATGCACCGTCCCCGGCTGCGACGAGACTGAGGACCGTACCCACCGCTGGCTTGTCGTCGACGGCCTCCCCGCCAGCTGCACTCAGATAGGCCTGTTCCACACGGGCTTCAAGCCTGGTCGTGTCGGGACCCAACCACGGCCGCAAGGAGGTGCAGCCTCATGAAGTCATCCAGGCGGCGTGTGCCCGCGCCGTCGACCTCATCCAAGACCTTGCGCGCGACTGGCATCCCCACGTGGAGGTGTACAGCGTCAACCTCCCCATGGTCGCCGACATCGCAGACCGGCCGGTGAGACTGACGACTACGGCACATGGACGGTGGGTCACGGGAGGGCTGTTCAGCCCTGCGCCCGCCGATCCTGAGAAGCTAGCAGTCTCGCGCACTTAGCAGTTCCCGTGGGCGCCGCAGCTGGCCGACATCAAGCGCCAGGCGGACGAGAGTCCCGAGGGCGAGGACTTGTGGGCGTCGCTCAATGGCGTCATCAGTGTTGCGCCCTTGAGAGCGAGTTTCACAGCTGTCGACGTGCACAAGTGAGATTAGGTGCATGCACACTCGCTTCCAGCTCAACCCCAACGACGGAGGTGCTTGAAGAAGTCCGTTGATGAGCAACGCAGAGGAAAGTTTGACATGGATAGATAACATCGCATATAGCATCGTATAGAACACGATAGACTTGCAGACGAACCCCATCCCCCTCGCGACTCTCAAGACTCAAAGTGACACGCACCCGTCAGCGCCATCTTCGATGAAGATGCCTCCGTAGATCTGGCCCTCGTCCAAGTTGCTCGACTGATACCCCGAGTTTACCACGTCGCTGGTGCCCGTCGGTTTCTTCAAGATGCCGATCTGGTATTGCCCGTCCCCGGCGAGGTTGGCCGGGATGGCGCCGCCCTGACTGGCGAGCCGGGCGCCGCCGGTCGAGTACCAGACTTGGATGGTACTGCGAGCGTCTTTTTAGTCAGAGGGCCCTTTTTTTTCTTTGTCTTTTTTTTGGAAAAGGGAAGGCTCAACTTTTTGGAAAAGTCCAACGTCAGGGCAAAGTTCTGCCACGAGCCGTCCGTCGCCACGGGCGTCGACCAGAGGAGCTTGTTGTCCCGGTCCAACAGCTTGAAGGTGTCTTTCGGCAGCAGCCCCTCGCGGCCGATGAGGGTGCCCGTCTGGAAATTGAACTGATTCGCGTCGTATGCCGCCGTCTCGTGCCAGACGTTCTGTAAGAAGAAAAGATGAGTGGATTAGAAAGATATATATACATGTACACATATATATATAAGAGCCGTTGGACCTACGAGATACTCGTGCGTCAGGTTCAGCGGCCGCGCCGCGTCCTGCCGCACACTGAAATGCAGCGTCTTGACCCCCGCGGCGGCGGGGCTGCCGACGTTGGCGTCCGCCGCGAACTGCAGGCCGGCGCGCCGGAAGCCGCGCTGGTTCATGAAGATGCTCCTGTCCGAGACGGTCACCTCGAGCGGGCGCGTGCCCCCGCCGGCGTCGAAGCGCGACGGGGGCGCGGCCTCCTCCTCCTCCTCCTGGGGGGATGGCAGCGGCAGCAGGATGATGTCGGACCACAGCAGGCCCTCGCCCTTGACGTAGCCCGGGTTGTAGGGGTTCCAGCCGCCGCCCGAGGCCGTGTCGAAGTCCTGCGGGGTCGCGACGGCGGGGACGCGGCCGTCGAAGACGATGGGGCACCGGACGGCCGCCGCGTGGCAGTTGGGGGTGGCGGCGGCGAGGGTGGCCGGCGTGAGGAGGAGCAGGAGGGCGGCGCGGGAGAACATGTTGGGATTCTTTACTCGGAGGGGGGAGGAGGAGGAGGAGGAGGAGGAGGCTTCTTGCTTGGTAGATTGATGGGCGTCATGTTTAATATATCTACTCGTCACCGTCACCGTTCACGTTGGCGATTCTCAGTGTCGTAAGTCCTCATCAGGGAAAAAAGGGCGTTGGCTCGATCTGCGACGGCGGCTACGCTCCGAGAAAGTTCGACTTCGGGGTTGGAGGGTATCTGACCCAAGCGAGGTGGCCCCCCCCTCCATCTCCACGACCTCGACTGCGTCGTCTGCCTGCGCCGCTCACGGACGAATCGGGGAAGATGTGGCCCCCCTCCAAAGTAGTAGCAGGATCCTGGTATAGTTACGTCCAAGGACAGTGAGGGCTGTTGGGAGCCCTCGCTGGAGATGTTGACATGGTAAATAGTGCACGGCTAATATCGCCGTGTCCCGACGTGCCGAGGTGGTGCAGAACATGCCTAGGCGACTTGGAGGTGAGCCGTTGCCGTGTGCATCTATCCGTTCTTGTTCCATCTTTGGGCTTCTCTTATTCGGTTCTTTACCTTGGTTTTCCTGTGTTATCGACGTGGGGGAGTATGGCACTAGATAGTGGCGAGTAGGCAGGCACGCAGAGCAAAGATCGACGCGGCGGACCTGGGCGGCTTTGCGCAGACGTGCGCCTCCGGGACGGCTTGCGTCGTCGAGAAGATTGACGACGACGCCGCCGTCGCGCCGCAGCTGGCTGTCTAGATGACGCCAAGGGGATCTTCTGCGAGGAGGGAAGGGGGGGTGTGAAGGAAGGGGGATTCGATACCACTGTTTTGGAGCTGTTTTTGGTGTTTTTGGTGCTTGGCGCACAAGGGTTGTATGCAGAGCGGCGATTAATATAGAATGCGCAAAGCCTTTCGAGTTGCGATGCGTCTGTCTCCTCTTGCAAAGCAGGCTAGAGAGTCAGTCAACCTGCATCTCTTAATCTCGTTTCCCCCTTCCTCTCAACTGATCTGTGTCATTGACTCGGATCAAGCCAAGAACCGACGAGTCAATGTACAATACAACACCGGATCGAGCAGGAAGAACATGGCTTCTTCGCGGTCGGCATCTGCAGAAAGGTCTTGATGGGGAGATGCTGATGGTTCGTGATGAGGTATAACCACAAGCCGGGGAAATCTTTCTAGTTTATCAGTATTACCAAGGAGCCACCATGATAAGACGAGATGGGGGTGTCGGCTACCAACCCGACTGGGAGGAAATGTGACAGACGATTGAAACGGGCCAAGCCTATCGTACTTCTGCCGCATCCGCATCCCTGAAAGGTACAGTACCTTTGTACACAGGTTACCGATATCCGTACAGCGAATGGCATACATTACATACGTGGTTCAGGTCACTTTCCGCCAGGGAGCTCCCCCCCAACACCGCCAAGCAAGCAAGCAAGCAAACCTCAAGTCTCCCGACTCCTTCGCCCGTCCTCAACTCTCGCCGTATAATCAATCGCAACTCTTCCGACCCCCTCCTCTTCTAGGGCCGTGCTGTTGTCCGTATCCGCCGTTTCCTCCACCCCCGGTCTACAAGAAAAAGACCACCGACCGTCGCGTGACCGTGCTTCCGGTCCATGAGGAGTCGCCATCGTGCCCTCCCATGTCCGAAAGAGGACGGAAGCCACCCTCGAGACAGCATGCCGTTTCAAATCATTGCGCAGCCAACCTAGTGCCGATTCCTATCTCTCCATCTTTGGTTTGACAGTTGCATTCGCCCATCAAACCATCCCCCCCTCCAAAAGAATCCCACTACCTACAGTCCGTCCTCCCCTTCGCGATGGACGCTCCGGCCACCGCTTCTCGACAGCCGATCGCCGAGGAACCCAGGATGTCCCAAGAATCGTCCCTCTCGACCGTTTCCACCACCAGCCTCGTCTTCGACCGCCTGCACGAGCATAATGAGAAGAGCTACCACTCTTCCTCCCAGCGCCGCCGCGCCCCGTCTGCCTCCCGTGGCGGCTATGCCGACCACCCCGACGACGACGACGACGACGATGAAAGCTACAAGGAGGCCGACACGAATGACCTCGAGACGGGGCCCTTCCTCGCCCCCGCCAGCGTTATGATGCGCCGCGTAGGTGTCGATCGCGGCCTGAAGAAGGTGATACTGATACTCGCCGCCGCCTTCCTCTTTGCGTGGGGAGCCGCCCTCTTCGTCTTCCTGTCCAACAAGTCGTATAAGCACGCCAGCACCATCGACCACGACCCGTCGGCGACCTCGCGCGGCTCCGGGAAGCCCGTGACGCTAGATCAGGTCATTTCCGGCTTCTGGTACCCGACCTCTCACTCCATCAGCTGGATCGAGGGGCCCAACGGGGAGGACGGCTTGCTGCTCGAGCAGGGCGCCCGTGGCAAGGACTACCTCGTCGTTGAGGACGTGAGATCCGGCAACAAGGACAGCCAGGTCTCGGCCAACGTCGTCCAGAGCCGTACCCTGATGAAGAATCCGTGGATCAATGTCGGTGGCCGGCAATTGGCGCCCTCCGACACCCGCCCGAGCAAGGACATGAAGAAGGTGCTCGTCTCGACCGACCGCCAGCGCAACTGGCGCTACTCCTACACCGCGCTGTACTGGATCTTTGACGTGGAAACCCAGACGGCCGAAGCTCTCGATCCCGAGCACCCCGACGGCCGCGTGCAGCTCGCGACTTGGAGCCCTCAGAGCAATGCCATCGTCTTCACCAGGGACAACAACCTCTTTCTGCGCAAGCTGGACGGTGACAAGAAGGTCACCCAGATCACAAACGACGGTGGACCCGAGTACTTCTACGGCATCCCCGATTGGGTCTACGAGGAGGAAGTCTTCGCTACCAATAGCGCCACATGGTACTCGGAGGATGGCAAGTACGTCGCGTTCCTCCGAACCAACGAGACGGGCGTCCCGGAGTACCCCCTACAGTACTTCCTGTCGAGGCCTTCGGGCAAAGAGAAGCCTCCGGGCGAAGAGACGTACCCGGATGAGAAGCGCATCAAGTACCCTCGTGCCGGAAGCCACAATCCCGTTGTGGACCTCCTGTTCTTTGACGTCGAGCGCGGCGACGTCTTCTCGGTCGATATCGACGGCGGCTTCGCCGACGACGACAGGCTCATTAACATGGTCCTCTGGGCCAACGACAAGGTCCTGATCAAGGAGACCAACCGCGTGAGCGACATCATGCGGGTGGTGCTCGTCGACGTCGTTGCCCGCACCGGCAAGACCGTCAACACCATTGACGTGGGCGAGCTCGACGGCGGCTGGTTCGAGATATCCCACACCACCCAGTTCATCCCTGCCGACCCCGCCAACGGACGGCCGCAGGACGGCTACATCGACACCGTGGTCCACGGCAACGGCGACCACATTGCCTACTTCTCGCCGATGGACAATGCCGAGCCCGTCTACCTCACCGGCGGCGACTGGGAAGTCGACGACGGGCCCTCCGCCGTCGATCTGAAGAATAACCTCGTCTACTTCGTGGCGACAAAGGAGTCCTCCATTCAACGCCACGTCTACAGCGTCCACCTCAACAGGTCCGACCTCAAACCCTTCACCGACACAAAGTTCGAGAGCTACTACGACATCTCCTTCTCGAGCGGCGCGGGCTACGCCCTCCTGTCGTACCAGGGCCCCAAGATCCCGTGGCAAAAGGTCGTCAGCACGCCGAGCAGCCCCGTCAGCTACGAGCACGTCGTCGAGAAGAACGAGGACCTCGCCGAGAACGCCAAGAAGTACGAGCTCCCCATCCTCAACTACGGCACCCTCAAGGTCGACGGCGTCGAGCTCAACTATGTCGAGCGCCGTCCCCCCCACTTCGACGAAAAGAAGAAGTACCCGGTCCTGTTCCAGCAGTACTCCGGCCCCGGGTCCCAGAGCGTGCACAAGAAGTTCGCCGTCGACTTCCAGTCCTACGTCGCCTCGGCGCTCGGCTACCTCGTCGTCACCGTCGACGGCCGCGGCACGGGCTTCATCGGCCGCAAGAACCGCGTCCTCATCCGCGACCACCTCGGCTACTGGGAGGCCCACGACCAGATCGCCGCCGCCCAGGCCTGGGCCGCCAAGAAGTACGTCGACCCGGCGCGCATCGCCATCTGGGGCTGGAGCTACGGCGGCTTCAACACCCTCAAGACGCTCGAGATGGACGCCGGCCGCACCTTCAGCTACGGCATGGCCGTCGCCCCCGTCACCGACTGGCGCTTCTACGACTCCATCTACACCGAGCGCTACATGCGCACCCCCCAGCTCAACCCCTCGGGCTACGACCAGACGGCCGTCTCCAACGTCTCGGCCCTCGCCGGCAACGTCCGCTGGCTCATGATGCACGGCGTCGGCGACGACAACGTCCACTACCAGAACACCCTCACCCTCCTCGACAAGCTCGACCTCAACGGCATCGAGAACTACGACGTCCACGTCTTCCCCGACAGCGACCATGGCATATACTTTCACGGCGCAAACAGGATTGTCTACGATAGTGAGTCTTCCTTCCCACCCCATCCCCCGAGAGATGCCTTGACTGACCATGGGCTTTTCTCCCCTTGCAGAACTCAGCAACTGGCTCATCAACGCCTTCAACGGCGAGTGGCTCAAGGTCGCCGGCGCGAAGCCCATCGTCGAGCCCAAAGCGAGGGTGTAGAGACTGGATGGAGCCCGTTAATGTATCATCTCTATAGTGCGATTTCTTTATTTTTATATCTTTATAGTATGGAGTTTTAGGGGGGTTTGCGAAAGACCAGTTTGCTTTTTTTCTGCTTTTATCTTCATTATCATGAGAGAGAGAGAGAGAGAGTTCTTCATGCCTCTCCCGCCTGTTAGCGGATATCCAATAGACAAGGCCGTACGCGCGTGCGCACTGAGCGTATAAAGCGTGCCGTTTTGACTAATTGTTACGGGAGCACAACACCATCCCTCCCCCAAAACCTAACTTGATCAAAAATTTTCGTGAATGGTGTCAGTCAGCCGGTGGGATGCCATTGTCTCGTTTATCTGCCCGTTTGACTTTCCTCCCCGGTGGAAACAGGACACTTTGTTGAGGGAGAGGCGAGAGGGTTACAGCTTCAGAAGGGCGCGAGACAAGACAAGAATAAATAAAAAATCCGAGCCATCAAAGACGTTATCCCTCGGAATTCTATACATGAGAAAGAGGCCAAGTATTTGACATGACCGCCTTGGGTTCCACGCGTCCGCAAGGTCTGGATCAGATCCGTGTAAGCCCGCGAGCTCGCCTTTCCTTTGGTCCCTCGACACAGACCACCATAGACTTTGCTTGTCCGGACCATATGATGGACGCAATGCTGAATGTTTTGGTACATGCTCCCCGCCATCTGCGAGACACCATCACCCTTTTTTTTCTTCGAAACGAATAGAGATGGCAAAGTGTAGTTCCTCCATCGACCCACCCTGAAAACGCCGTGCCTGGTAGAAATCCCGTAAACCCTCCGTGATGCAGCCCTAAATGACATCCTCTACCTCTACCAGTTTCATGAGAATCGTATCTATCCTTCGTGCCATGCGGCGCTCTTACGCCAGGTAGCGATACGTTGGTGTTGATGCATCCTCCACCCGCTCGAGGTACTCGCGCACGATGAGGTCCTCGATCCGCTTCTTGATGAGGCTGATCTCGGGCTTGAACCGACTGCTGAGTTGGTCGATAACCTCGGTGATGAGCTGCGAATGGCCGAGCTCTTTACGTTGTCTAATGCCATGATTAGCAACGATAGCAAGGACAATGGGTGGCAAGGAAGCACATACTTCATGATTCTGACAAGCGCGGCGTCAATGATATGGGCTCGGGTCTGGTTGTTCTTCTCCTCTGTCTGTTTCCTCTCCTCGTCGCCCTCGACCTTGCTGGTGGCGTTGATGATGGGCGCCTTGATGCGGACAGTCTTGCTAACGAAAGAAGTATTAAACTTGAACCTGTCGCCCGGCTTGATGGACTTGTTGGCAGGCTCCTTGGCCAGCAATCTCGCTTTCGGGACGATGGCCAGAGAAGTAAGGGTTCTGGCAAGGTCTTGAGGCGGTATGTTGGTCTTAGCCTGAATCTCCTCCAGGGAAAGCTCCTCGCCCTCCCCGAGCTCGTTGAAGAGCAAGAGCACAACCATGCCGTAAGTCGGCACATTGATCTCGTACTTACGCTCACGCGCCAGCGGGCCCTTTCCACCAGGAACGGCGGGAAAAACACAGCGGACATCGGCGTTGCCGGTTGACCCAAGCCAAGTCAGCTTACGGCCACTGCGATTTGTAAGGTAGTACTTGAGAAGGCTTTCCTGGAGGCGCTTGATCTCTTCGGGGAAGATGCAGCCGCCGCCCTCGGAGAACTGCGACGTACGGCCCATGATCTCGGGAGGCCATGAGTTGGTCGTTAAGATATTAACAGCGAGATCGATCTGTTTGCGTGACATGTCGCCCAAGCCCTTGATATGGTCCCGGTAACCTGACGTCAACTCGGCAGACGATTCCATATCTCTGAACATGCCCTCGAACTTGGCGGTGAACTGGTTGCCAAGCTCTTGCTTCATCCGCGAAATCATCGACTTCTCGACATCGTGGCTCTCCGACTTGTTGTTCAGCAGACGCTTCGCCAAGTGCTTCTGGTAGTACCGCTCAAAGAGGTCCTTGTCTGAGAGGTAGCGGATCACCGTGATGGCCTTCTCCAGTACTGCCTCGGTCTCGGTCTCGGTCTTGCCTCGGATACCGCGTCGAAGATTGTCGTCGATGAATAGTGAGACATATTCGGAGCTCTTGGTGAACATGTTAATAAAGTCGGAGAAGCTCTTCGTGAGTGCGGTTTGAATAATGAGGTCCTCTTGAAAGCACTTGGTCCACAGGTTGTCGAACTTGTCCTTGAGCTTGAGGACATCGTCGACCCACTTGATCGCCGCAGCCGTCTGCTGAGCGGACGAGCTCAACGCCTTGGTTTTCTCTCCGCCATCAATCTCCTCCCCGTCAGCCTGTGCCGAGGCGGCTGAGAAGTTGGTATCCTTCAACATCTGTTCAATCTCGAGGCCGAGCTCAATTACACGCGCGGACAATATCTTCCTCAGCGATGCCTTCTTCGAATCGACCCGTGATACCAGCTGGTAGAGGATAGACAGTTCCTCCTCGCGATCGTAGTTGACCATCGATTTCAAGCCACTACCTTCGAGGTTCAAAAAGTCGTCCAGATGTGCCGAGATGAGCTCCTCCTCAACAACCTTGATGGACCTCTCTCTCGTCTCATAGTGGATGGTGGTATCACATCGGTCGTTCTCCTCCTGCAGTCGGCGTTGGGTGTGCCGCAGCCATGCGCCGGCGTCGGCGTCGCGGAGCAGTCGCTCGCATTCGCGCCTGTAGTAATCACGCTCGGATTCGAGATAGGCGGGCTCGAATACGGTCAGGTACAGCTTCTCGGCCTCGTTTTCTTCGTCAGACTCGTAGAGAGAATCCAGCATCCGAACAATGTTCCGCAGCAGGTGGCGGTCAATTGTATCACCGTCGCGCTCCATGTTGACGTGGTCGAGAATGACCGAGTTGAGTATGTCAAAGATGGTGTATTGTCCACTCGAGTTGAGCGACGCCCGGAGAATATGGTCACGGAACAGACCAATTGTGGCCGTGTAGATGGACGCCTTGCGGGCGTCCTGGGTGTAGCCCCGGTCGAGGTACATGAGAATATCGGCCGTCATGTTCATGGAAGTGTTGTGGTGGTCCCAAGATTTTCTCACACCTCCAAGGAATATCTCGCCCATCTTTCGCCGCTCATTGACTGATGTGGCCGCACCACCCATAGCGGCGCTTACGAGGTTGGCTGTGACCAGGCGCTCGATGGTGGGGATGACGTGCTCGGAAAAGTATTGCTCCTCAAACTGCTTAACCCGCTCGTAAAGTAACTCGCCTTTCTTCTTAAGTACTATCTTGTAAGACGCTCGGTAGAGTTGCTCGAACGACAGCGTGCTGCAGTTCTGGTTGTGGATGTCTGTGAGGGCCTGTTTCAGAGTCTCCCAACACTGCTCAAAGTCGCTAGTATCAATGCCGGATGTGAGCTTTCAACAGTTAGCACACAGTCTTTGTATACATTTTCTCCTGTCCTTGGCCTATGTTCTTCCTCCTAAGCCCCCTCTCCACCCTCCTTCAGCGGCGACCTGCAATCGGACGAAGAGCCGAGAGGAATTCACACAGCGGCGATCCACCAGGACAATGAAGGGGACACAGTAGGAGGACAATAAGCAAGCAGATATTAGGCCATCATCATGACAGGACAGGCGACACCTCATTTATGCATGCTCAGGGTATAACTCACCCGACCTGGGCGGCGCGGGGGCCGAATGCGGCCGGCTCGCATGGCCGTGCCTCCGCCGCCTCTGCCAGAAATCATCGTCTGCGTGTGCGTATCTATGGAAATATGGAGGGGAAAACCTCTGCGGGATTCGGTAATGGTGGGTGGTCGTTTCAGGTCGAGAAAGCTATCGCGGGAGTGACTAAGTTGGCGGAGGCGGGGTAGCTTTTCGCGTGTAGCGGGATGGGTGAAGGCAACACCTCGTTATTGTGGAAGAAGCGAAGGGGAAACAAGGCGAGAAGTAGAGAACATTCGAGCTTGCTAGCAAGGAAGAGGTCGACCGCCCATCGAAAGGCAGGGAAAAAGTTCGGAGGACTGGAATATATTACAAGTAGACATTGCAAAGGAAGGAAGGGATGTAAGTGTTCAAGTTCCGCTGGAGGAGCCGACAACAGCAAGGCTGCGCTGCGGTGCGCTGACCCCAGTCGGGATGGTCCGCGCGCATATTGCATGTTGCGCAAGGCGGAAGGGGCGATCGATGTGGGGCATCGGAGCCAATCACTTGGGTTTGCTACGCACGAATCATTTAACGACCAGGACGTTTGCGCCACATGTGGCTGTACGTTCGATTATTTTTATTTTCTAGTTTTGTTCAAGATGCTTGACTGCCCGTGCTCTGGAGTGGAAAATGACGGCATTTCCAGACCAATTCGAGAGCAGGTCAAACCAGCCAAACACAGCTTCACTGACAGGCCTTGACGAACACTAACACCATCACCAACGCGAATACAACCCTTAATTACACCACTCAACCACTAGATCTTTCACACACACACACACACACACACACACACACACACTTACACATCAGAATGGCCTCGCGTCCAACCTTCACAAAGCTCACGCCCATGCTGCGACAAGCTCGCCCTGGCGCATCACCACTCAACCGCGGCAGCCCCATCCTGCAAGCCCTCCAAGCCTATCGCCAACAACAGCATTCACCGCTCCAACCCACCGTCACCGCGCGTTTCGCCCACGCCATCCCGAAGCCGAAGGCGGCACGCGAGGCCGAAGCCAAGTCGCCCGCCCAGATGCGCCTCGAGGCTTCGCCGCATTACCAGCTCGACTTCACCTGCGTGCCTTGCGACACCCGCTCGCGTCACAAGGTCTCCAAGCAGGGCTACCACCACGGCTCCGTCCTCATCACCTGCCCCTCCTGCCGCAACCGCCACGTCATCAGCGACCACCTGGGCATCTTTGGCGATCGCAAGATCACCGTCGAGGACCTGATGCGCGAGAAGGGCCGCCTCGTCAAGCGGGGCACCCTGGGCGAGGACGGCGATATAGAGTTCTACCCTGACGAGGGCATCGCCGAGGCCGAGGCCGAGGTCCAGTCTGCCGACACGAAGAAGGACGGCCCGGCTTGAGCGCGTCGGGCATGACTTTGAAGATGCTGTACAACACTTGTGGTAAAATGTGGCGGAGGAAAACATTGGATCAACACGGCCTTAGTTCGTCGGGGAATGACTGCATATAAAAGATTACGGCGTTCCGGATACCCCAGCATCACTATCCTGGGTCACGAAAAGACAGGAAATATTGTAACAATAAATGATAGATCCCACATATGAACGGGCAATGTTAGCCCCTGTACTATATATAAATACACCCTTTCTAAATTCCTGCGCATCCTTCTTTTCCCAGCCGAAAACGCCAGTGTCCATGTATCCTCGATGATTACCACCCCTTGTACGCCTGTCTGAACTGCTTGTGCTCGTGGCTCCTGACCTTCTTCCTCTCCTTCTTCTTTTCCGTCTTCTTCCTCTTGTCTCTGCCGTACTTCTCCGGGTGCGCGATGGCCTCGATCTTGCGCTTGCTGGACCTCTGCTGCCTCCGCGTGCGCACCTCCTCCCTGATGGCCAGCAGCTGCTTGGTGTACTCGGCGGTGCCGAACTTCTTCTGCAGCGAGTCCATGAGGATCTGCGCCCTCGTCTTGAGCGTCTCGAGCCGGGTCTTGAAGAGGTCGTCCGTCGAGAAGGGCACGGGGATATTGGGGTCCGTGAGGTTCTGTAGCGGGTAGAGTATCGTCTTGAACGACGGCTCGAGATTATCCTGCGGCACACGGCGGCAGATGGTCTCCAGCACCTCCATGGCCACCGTCTTGGGAGTGATGGCGGTAGACTTGGGGCGCACGTCCCTGCGCAGGATCGACGAGAGCTTCCAGAACAGGTACTGGAGGTCCTTGCGGTGCTCATCGATTCTGTCCTCCTCCGCAGTTGTCTCGTCGCGGTCTCCCAGCGTCTCGGCTTCCGGTACGCTCTGCACCTTGACGGGCAGGCGAGGGCCGAGGAAGATGAGGATCTGGGTAATCTCCGCAGCGAGGGCGTCGTCAATCTCGGGGGTTCTCAGGGCGTAAAGAGTAAGTCTGACAAGCTCCTCGAGGTCCTCGACCTCGAGGTCCAGGCCATGCGAACCCTTTAGTGCTTCTCCCGGCTTGTTGGATTTGCCAGCGAAGTCGGCGAGGAACGTGCTCAGCACCTTGGTGGTGCTCAGCTTGACCGAGTTCTCAGGGTGAACCAGGCAGCCACGGACATCACCCCAGAGTTCCTTGGCTTCGGAAGACAGCAGCCTTGCGGGGTACTTCTCCGTAAGAACCTGAACATCGTGGAGCACAGTGTTGATGAGGTCTTCGTCGGCGACGCGGATGTCGCCGGTTCCGACAATCTCGCCGATCTTGCCGAGAACCAGCTCCAACTCCTTCCTATGCTTAGATGAAGGCTCCTTGGCCTCGAAGAAGAGGCCAAAAGCTTGCAGCGACAGCTTCGTCACCGCAGGGTTGTCCTCTTGCTCAAGCCACGAGCGAAGGAGAGTCATGAAGTTCTGCGTCCTCTCCTTGTCGGCCCGGCGGAACATCTCTTTGATAAGCTCGCCGGCGGCAAGACAGCACTTTTCGCTGTCATCGTTGGCTAGCACCATGACAAGAGGCAAGAAGCAAGTTGAGATGACCTCTTGAACAAAGTCGTCCGCGGACTTCATCAGCAGGAGATGGACGACCTCCATGACGGAGAGACGGCCGCCTTCGCGCTCGTAAGTCAAGTTGGCGACCACAAAGTTGAGTTGCTTCACCCACCGGGCCTTCCTCTGCGGGTAGTCCTTGAGGAACTGGAAGAAGGCCCCCCTAGCCAGGTCTCGGGTATCCTTATCGTCGTTGGTGATCATGACAGTGCCAACGTAGTCGAGTGTGTCGTAGACTACCGCAGTCTCAATCTTGCGCTCAAGCACAGAGCGGAGGAAGTTGAAAGTAACGTGGCGGTAAAGAGTCTCGGTTAGATCGTCCTTCAGCTTGCCGAGCAGCATATCAATCGCTGCGTCCTTGACGGGGATATCCTTGCGCTCGCGCAGCACAACCGAGAGAAGCTTCAGAGCAGCCTGCGAAAGCTCGGTGGTGGTTGAGCTTGACATCGAGATGCTTTTCGTCGCCTCCTTGACCGCAACCTTGTATAGCTGAACATCTTCGTCGTTGTTGAAAGGTACCTTGACCAGGACTGTGAGAAGCCTGAAGGCTGCAGTCTTGACATCGTCCTCTCCGCCTACGATGGCGTCACCGAGAATGGGGACAAATCCAGCAATGTTCGTTGCGGTGCGCAGGCTGTCGTACTTCTTCCACACAGACCGCAGGATGTCGAAGGCGAACTTGACTAGCTTGAAGGTGTACTTGCCAGCGGTGCCGTGGTTGTCTTTCTTGACGCCCTTCTGATATAGATACTTCTTCAGGCGGTAGTCGATCTTTGGCTGCACCTCGGTCTTCTGGTTCTTGTAGACCTCTTGGATAACCTCGTAACAGAAGATCAAAGTGTCACGGCTCTCCGACGCAGGGTTCTGCAAGAGACCAGCGGTAATTCTTGCCAACAGCGTGTCGATCTTGCGAACCAGCTTGAGGTCGACCTTTTCCAGGAGCAGGGACTGCAGAGGGTGGACGAGAACGACAAGTTGGCTGATGGAGGCTGACTTGGCAATGAGCTCCATGGAATCCTGACTCTTGCTTGCCTTGACCTCCTTCATTTCACTGATGTAACCCTCGGCGTCCTTTTCTTGACCGGTAACTCCAAAGATGTCGTCAATGATGATTGAGACAATAGACCGCAGAGTGTAATCAAGATCACCCTGCTGGAATTCCGGGATGATCTTGAGAAGCATCGAGTGAAGGGTGTAAGACATAACGTGAAGCTGGTAGCCTCTCTTGAGAGCACCCCGCAGCTCCTTCAGGATGAAACTGAAGTAAGTCGGGCCCAGCACCGATGCAATCTGAACGAGAGTATCTCTGGCCATCTCACGGGCCTCCCAAGACTTGCTGCGCAAAATGTGGCAGATGTCTGTGAGGACACCAGCAAGCTTCTGACCCATCTCTTCGAGCGGCAGAAGCTTGAGAAGCTTGACGATGATGACACCAACCGGCACACGGTAACTGACCTCCGACTCGTCTTTCTCGTGCAGATGCTTGATCAGCGAAGGTAGGAAGAGGTTATTGACGTCCTTGCTGAGCTTGTCTTGTGGGGGTTTGGTGAGCACCAGTCTCTTGCCCGAAGGCGAGGTCGTCTCCGAATCGTCTACCTGCATTGGCTCGGCGGCCGCTTGTCCAACTGCAAAGATGAGGGCATCGCAGAACTTGGCAAGCAGTCGAATGACCTGCTTCTGGTTGTCGGGCTTGGACTCGACGTAGCTGATGTATCTCTGCAGGATGACGCGGTAGTGCTTCCAATCCAGAGACTGTGCCAGGTTACCAATCGTGATCGTTGCTTGAGCACCCAAACCCTGGTCATCGCTTCCCTCTGTGCGACCAAAGATGAAGTGCTCGAGAAGGGGAATAAAGAACTGGCTGAGGTTCTGGCTGCCAATTTCTGAGCCGTCGTTGACACTGTCGAGCATCCGGATGGCTTCCAGCTGTCGGGAGGTGGCAGGACTGAGAATGTTGAAGAAGAAGGGCAATTCGGACGTCTCCTCAGCAAGTTCACCAGTCAAGAGCCCCTTCATGTCTGCAACAGGCTCCCACGTGGGCATTTGCGCTAGAAGGTAGCCGAACACTCTAAGGTATTCTCTCCTGACAGTTGGGGACTCCTCGCGAGCTCCAGTATAGATGGAAGGCAACAAAATGGTCTTCAAATGGGATTCAAACCCGGCCTCGACAGCCTGATCAGAGCAAGATGCCGCCTCCCTGATGAACTTGCGCAGACAGTCCGCAGAGTTCGAGGCCAGAATACCATACTCCTCATCCGAGCGGATGTAGTAAATCAGGTTGTGTAGCAAAGGGAGCCACTGCCTAACACTGAAGGGTGTTTCCTTGTTTGTGATCCGGGTGAAGGCCACAAGTCGCTTGTCATAGTCTGGCTCGTCGATGCGGTTCTTGGCGAAAGAGTTAAGGTCGCTGCAAATTTCGGCAACTTCCCGAAGTGTGTTGTCCTTCTCGGCAAGGGCGGTAAGAACGCGAGCCAGTGCCTGTCTGTTGTCCCTGTCTTTGAAGTAACTGAAGAGGGAAGACAGAGTATCGAAGATGGCAATGTTGGCGGTCTGCTCTTCTGCCTCTTCAGAGCCAAGTATGGTGATGAAGCGCTCGAGGATGAGCAAAATCTTGCCCTTGGCTCTGGGGTTGACTCTTCTGGGCGGCTGGTTGAGAAGGAAGGTGGCAATCTTGAGCGTCTCATGCACGTTGGCAGAGGTCTCGACAAGCGGAGACAACTCCACGATCGTCTCAATGCAAGCCTCGAGCAGTTCGTTGCCCATTGTCTGCGTCTCCAGGGTGGTGACGATGGTCTTCAGCGTCAATTCCATGTTGGCATCCAGGAGTTCAGCTCGAATAAGCTCATTGAACTCGGACTCCCCAGCAGGAGCCTGTGCCAGCTTGACAAGGTTACGGACAATGCTCAAGGCGAAGATCTTGACATTCTCCTTGCCCTTGACTACAGACAAGCACTCAATGACCTTTGGCAAGATCTGGTCGTTGATGGAGATGAAAAGTGCGGCCCTAGGCAGCTGTGACCAAGTTGACAGAAGCTGCATAATGCCGGACACGGACTGGGCTGTCTCGATAGGAAGCTTCTCAACTCTAGGAGTGACGACCTCGTTGACAATGGGCACCGAGTAGGCCGGCCAGTTGAAGTCCTGCGCATTACGGAACAGGGTGATCAAGCATTTCAGACCAGTGGTGCGGATAACCTTCAGCATGGAATCTTGCGAGACATCGTTCGGTTCTTCAGCCTCTTCGTCCGACTCGGCGGCCGACTCTCTGAGCCGTCGGCAAGCAAAGATGAGACAGTACATAACAGGGTGAATGAGCTTCTCGGTGTAAGGGCCGACGTGTGCGCCCAGTTCGTTGATCAGGGGTAGCATCATGTTCATGAAACCAAGTTGTTTGCGGACAGGGAGGATCTCCTTATCAAACAAGCTGGCGCGGAAGCCGGACTCGTCGATGACGCGCGCATCCTTGAGACCACCAATGGCGATATCCAGAAAGCTTCCGGTGTCTTCCACGCTGAGGTTTCTCAGGACGGTCAGACGGGTAGCTTGCAGGCCATGACGACCACTAGCAACACCCTTCTTCGAAATGGTTCGTCCGTACAAGAGTCTGAGGAGGACAGGCATCAGCTCCTCCCGGTGCTCGGGTCGGATGGCTGACTCTCCCTGGAGGAAAACGGTGACTTCGTTTTTGAACCTGGCCTCGTCGAGTAGGTACTCCAAGTTTTCTTGGTAAGGGCGAACGCCCTCCTGCTTCCATGCGAGAATGGCCTTCAGAGCCAGCTTCTGTACTTCCACGTCACCGTTCTCCATGAGATGGAGAAGGGCGTGGTAGACTCTCTCATTCTGATAAAGCACTTTAGGGTTGATGAAGAGGGCGAAGACACCAATGAGCGCTTTACGATCCTGAAGTGACCAATCCTCGCCCTTGGTCGGGACGTCTTCGTCCTCTTGGCTGTCGGATAAATCTTCATCGTCACCGGCCCACGCCAGGAAAAACGGCACGAGCTTGCGAGAACGCTTCTCTGCGAAGTGAGGCATGGCGGTGAGGACCTTCAAAGCCTGCGCACGCGCAGTGTCGGCGTGAGCTTCAACTGTCTGCTGTTGCTCGTCGAACGTCTTGAGCATGAGGTCGGTGGCGTTGTTCACCACCTCTTCAACATGACCTGCCATGTCCCAGAGCTGTTGCACGTGTCGGCAGTCAAAGTCGGTCATCGCTTGGCGGTTCTGGAGCGTGGGCTGGCTACCTGGCCCAGACCACCTCGGAGATGGTGTCTCCAGCCAGTTGAAGGCAGTTGCAGTGATGTTCTCCTCTCCCTTCTTGGATTCGCCAACAAGCTTGAGTGCAGTGATCGTGTCGTCCCACAGAGGCGACAGTTTAATTGTCAACATGCCGAACATGAAGGAGGGGATTGCCTTGATGAGCCACGAATTCTCTTTCAACTGTGAGTAGTTTTGGCCGAGTTTGCGAAGGTGCATGGCAACGTTTCTCAGGCTGGACAAATCCATGGCCGTGTGTTCGATATCCAGCATGAGGGTATGGCACTGGAGCTCGTCCGGAGTTGATTCAAACTGCTGAAGAATCTTGAGAGATGCAAGGCGAAGCTGGTGGGAAGGAGCCGAAAGGTTTTCAATGAGCGCCTGGACGACTGGATCCTCTTCGGAGCCCTCGCTGCTATCGCTACTTTGGTGGTCGGCGAGCGGGGGCTGGCTCTTTGTGGCCTCGGTATAAGTAAGGTACGCTTCCAAGAAGCCTACTGAGCGGCTGAACCTAGGCAAAGCAGCCCGGAGAAGCGGGTTCAACGCAGGGTCTACAGGGCCTGCTGCTCTGCTCATGCGCAGATACGCGTGAAACCCTTGGCTGATGCTGAAGTGCACCTCGTCGGACGCCAGCGTCGATGATGGCTTGAGGGCAAGCCTCAGCTTCCGAAGCAGAAGCTCCGCAATCTTGGCGCTGGCCGAGGGATGGACAGTCGTAGAGAACAACAGGTCCAGCAGCGCTGAGTATTTTGGCAAGCACCTGTCGCGCCACGTCTGAGGGTCCTTATCGTATGCACCGCGTTCAGGGAACGGGGATGCCTCGAGACGCTCAAACTTGGACACGATCTGGTCCTGCCAGCTGCGCGGAAGATTGCATGTCTCCTTGCCTCCGGGCGAAGGCAAACTGCCATTTTGGACCATGCGCGGCAGGAAGACGCACAGCATGTCTTCGTTGCGGCCGTCGGACCAATGGCTGACTATAAATCTATTCCGTGTAAGCTCAGGAAGGTTACGATGCCGAACGCGGCTGCACTCACCTCTGGAAATACGTCTGGAAGAGACTTCGGAACCGGGTGGAATCGAGGTTTGAGAAATAGGCACAGAAAGGGATGTACCATCTCATGAGGCGCTCCCTCTGAAGAGCAGTCATGAAGTCCTTGATGGATGGAATCAGGGCCTCGATTGGCGCTTGGTGCCAAACAATGGCAGCGTTGACAATCACATGTCTCCACACCAGACCAAGCTTGTCCTCCGTCGCCTCGGGGGAGTGTTGTGCCATTGAGTCCAACATCGCGGTAAGGTTCTCGACCAAGGTGGTCCAGTTGCTGATTCGATTTCCGTGTCGGACACCGGCGGCTGTGCCAATTACCCTGACCTGTGGCACAAACTTCCATGTCTTGTTCGGCTTTGGCCCGCTCAAGGCCCCCTGCACTTGACCCTGCATCGCCTCGAGAACAGGAGCAAGGTCCTTGTCGTTGGAGTGGTGAGTGACGCTAGTTAACACACCGCAAACTAGATCAGTCCAGGTCATGGTGGGTGTGAGATCTGCTTCCGTCTCGGGTATCGCCTGCATTAGAGCCGTGAAAACGGCCGGGCCGGTCGAGTGGATGGTCTGACCAGGGCCTTTCATCGCCTCGGCAAACATGGTCATGAGACCGTCTTGATATAGTTGGAATTGGCGTTCGCCGACCATGGTCCGAAGGTCATCTCTGGCGTGGCTGACGATCGTAACGAGAGCGGTCTCTCGGTTTGCTGGCGCAGCGGCCTTCTTGATTAGAAAGCTCATAGCCTCTGCGGCGAAACGAGCAATGTGAGGGGGGTGGCGGGCCTTTCCCAGGAGCGGTGCCACAACATCGTAGGTTGGCCGCAGGTCAGGCACTATGAGCCTCGACAGATATTTGAAGAGAAAAGCAAGGGCAGCGAAGGTCCATTCGATAACGTCGACGTCTTGGGGCTTTCCGGCAATGGCGACGATGAGATGTAGAGACTTAGCATAGTACTTCTCGAAGCGTGTACCGATATCATGTGCGAAGGCCGTGAGGAGCTCTAGCAGCGGCTCCAGCGCCTCCTTATCTTGTTTCGCCAGCGATTCCTCTAGCAAGCCAAAGATCTTCTCCTCGAAGTGCAGAATCTGGGCAAGACTCTCGCTCAAGGGCAAAGCCTGCCTTTTGAAGTCGTTGAAGCCCTTGGATATGTTGAGCTCTCCCCATCTTTGAAGGCCGTTGCGAAAGTAGGAGGTCGTGGCTTCGAGATCTTCGGCATCGAGGTCGTGTCGGCGGACTTTTCGCAGGGGATCGAGCGCGTTGAGTTTCGAGATCTTGGCAGCAAAAGACTCCCACCGGTGGTTCTTTTGGTGGGGAGTCGAATACTTGCCCTTATGGGACTTTGTGATGCGACCAGACGAAGTGGAAGGCATGTTGGGCGAGTTGACAGGTTGAGTGTGCAAAAACCCGTCTTTGATAGCCTCCCAACTTCACTAACTGCTTGATCGCGAAACGAAGTTCCCCGCCAACTCTTCAAAGCTCAAAAAATTTGGACTTTTTTTTTCTGCCGGCTGAAGGTCGGTCGATTGCGATAAGCTGATAAGAATATGATATAAAGCGGGTTCAAGTGGGTCTGAGCCAGTCACGGAGCTTAGCGATAAAAAAGGGACCCACCCACATTACTTCATCGCGCGCATCCTATCGCATCGCATCGCATCTCCAAAAGCCCACCCAAGCTTCCTTCAACAACACCAGCCCAGCCACATACACCATCAATCGAAGCGCAATGGCTGCACCCAAGGTGTAGGTCCAACCGCAACCAATAAAAAAATCTATATGAATTGAATTTGAAACTGACTGTGTCTAGGATCGTTCTAGGAAGCCTCAATGGCGGGCTGCAGCCAGCCTTCACGAAGCTTGCGACGCTCCACTCCAAGAACAACTTTAGCTTCGCAATTGTCACTGGCAACCTCTTCGGTGTTGACGACGAGAGCGCTGTCGAAACTCTTCTGAATGGCGAGCTCATAGTTCCCCTTCCAGTCTACTTTACCGTCGGTACTACGCCCCTTCCCCCGCGAATCGTCGCGAAGATCGAAGCCGACGAGGAAATTTGCGAGAACCTCCACTTCCTTGGCAAGCGCAGCATCACCAAGACCTCGGAAGGAATCAGGATCGTCGCACTTGGCGGAAAGCTTGACGTGGAAATTGTGGGAGGACAGTTAAAGGAGCAGCATTTGCCTTACCACACCGCAGATGACGCGAAGTCTCTCAAGGGCGCCAACAAGGCGGACATCCTTTTGACGACGGTCTGGCCCGCAGGAGTCTGGGCTGGATCCAAGATCGCGCTTTCCCCTGAAAACGAAGGGGCAATCGAAAGCACGGCCGAAATCGCAGAGCTGTGCGCGATACTGAAGCCCCGTTACCACTTCTCCTCATCCCCCGCCGAGTTTTTTTACGAGCGTGAGCCCTTCGTCCACCCCGCCGAGGAAAGAGATGAGCATCTTTCGGTCACTCGCTTCATCTCTATGGCCCCCTACGGGAACTCTGCCAAAGCCAAGGCGCTTTATGCGTTCTCACTGACGCCCAACGAGACCACCGTTGAGCGACCTGCCAATGCTACCTACACCCCATTCAACGCAACGAAGCAAAAGAAACGCACGCAGGACGAGGGCTCTTACAGCCGCTTCGCCACCGGCGACGACGACGGCCGTCATCATCGCCGCGGAAACAAGCGCCGCCGTCAGCAATCCCCCCCTCCTGGGCCGGATCGTTGTTTCTTCTGCTTGAGCAACCCCAACCTCGATACTCACATGGTCTGCTCCATCGGCGAAGACAGTTATCTTGCTACTGCCAAGGGCCCTCTCGCCACGTCACGGACTTTTCAGGAACACGGTATCGGCTTCCCCGGCCATGTCATTATCACACCCCTTGCCCACACCCCGACTGTCCACCACTCGGGTGTTGAGAGCTACGCCCCTGAGGAGGCGGAGAAAACCCACAAAGAGATGACCCGTTTCCGGGAGGCGCTTCAGGCCATGTTGTCTACCAAGTCTGACCACAAGCTTGGTGCCATCACGTGGGAAATCAGCCGTGGTCGTAACATTCACGCCCACTGGCAGTTCCACCCCGTCCCCGCCGACTTTGTCTACAAGGGGCTCGTCGAGGCCGGGTTCCGCGTCGAGGCCGAGAACCTCAAGTATCCAGAGTTTGAGAACCGCGAGCTTTCCTACGAGGAGCAGGCTGAATTTGGTGACTACTTCCGCCTTTGGATCTGGGCCGACAACGGTGAGGACAGAATTAAGGGTTCTAGTCTCGTCATGAAGCTCGATCCCAACATGCGCTTCGATCTCCAATACCCGCGCAAGGTCGTCGCGAAGCTCCTCCGTCTCGAGAAGCGATTCGTCTGGCAGGATTGCGTACAGACGAAGGAGGAGGAAGAGCAAGACGTCGCGGCTCTCCGTGAGGCCTTCAAGGAGTGGGACTTTGCGTGATGGACGGCACATTCGGGCCGGAAGAGTGATCTCTTCTCGACCGCAGCCATGGTTTACATATTTGGCATAGCATTTAGCATGGAAGGCGTTTGAGAACAAATACCCGGGTTATACATGCATATTCTTGCTATACGTGCAAATGGCCTAGAGCAGGCTGCATTTGCAGATGCTTTGCTTTCGAGCGATCAACGGATGGATATTGGGGGAAGTAGTCAGTCCTGCTTCCATCTTCGGGGCAAAAGGATTCTGCGAAGAGCAGTTTCTGTTTTCGTATTCCACAAGCAAGGGGGCGTCTGCATAGGCAGGCCAAGAGGCACCAAAAGTTATGATTCGTTTGACTATCTCTTTGCGTTCCTCTTTGCAGCCCACTATTGCCGTGGCATTTGCTTCTGGTGATGGTGACAAGTCCTCACGTTTAGAGTCCCACCTCAAAGTAAACAGAGCCTGGCTGACTATCCTGGACCCTTTGCCGGCTCGACGCGACCAGGGAGAGATAATCGATGCGAGCGATTGCCTGAATCTTGAGAAGCTGTGTTATTCCCAACCCGAATGTTTCAGCAACCCGCTCCCAGCTGAGGTCAGTCATGACCATCACCTTGCCCCGCCCTCAACCAGATATTGATATTATCTGACTTACTATTGCGGTAGCTCATGTCGGTCACTCGACGCGGGTGGAAGTCCTCTATTCCCGCGCTGTCTCCCGATGCAACACAGCAACCCATCCATCCAACGCCACAGACGGCCCGGACGTGTCGTCCGCGAGACAACATCAACAGCCCACGACCCTTGAATAAGCTCCTCCCTTACAATACACGAGTTGATGTCTACCATGGACCAGGCAACATTGTCTCGGCAAGGCGCACACCGATTTTGCCCCCACCCCTCGTGGGGCCCTGCCTGTCCGCGTGTCAAAGTCTCCCGCGGAGCCGCACGCAAGGGAGACCGAGGCCCCGGTTCGTTCGGGAAGAAGAAGAAAACTAAGAAAACTTTCCGTCTGACCCGGCAAGCCTGGGCTCGTGGGGGCAGAGGAAGGAAGGACGGCGGCCCCCGGAAGACACGCCTCGCTGGATGAGTCAAGACTTCTCTATTCTCCGGGCTGAGCTGCACTAGGGCACACCTTTCCAGAGACACTTCGTGGGCAGAGCTCTCCCGGGATGCAAGGCGTACTTCGTCACGACCTCTCCCTTACCGGGATGTCATAGGCACGGTATGATTGGCACGACTGAGACACAGCTGGGCGCTATATCGACCAAGCAATAAGGCGCGGGATCAGTTACCGTCGGGAAGGGCCGAGAGAAGTGTACATTCACACGTTGTGATGGGTGGTTTCCCTTGAGGAGGTGTCTCAACCAGCCTGTAGGAATTCCAACCAAATTGGGGCCTATTTACTTTTCTTTTTCTCCCATCGTTTTCGGGACTTTGGTAAGCTTGGGTCTTCCGAGGTTCCCCGGCACTGATGAGCCTCCACCGACGCGTCCTCTGTCTCTCTCCCTTGCAGGAGACAATCAGCGTCGATTGGGGGGGTGCTGGCTGGGAAGCCAAACAACTACATAGTGATACTGACGAGTCACCCATTATCCACCATGGACAAATAAGCAGCAAGGCCGGAAATTGAACACCATGCCGACCATGGCTCTTCGACGGTGTGGTTTCCTGTACGAACCCGTCTCGAGGGACTCCAGAGAGCCACTTTCCCCTCTTTTTCTCTCATTCCTCCCTTACAAAAAAGGGGAAAAAAACAAGAAGAAGGAAGAATGGTTAACAAAAAAGCCCACGCAGCAGAAACTGGAGCTGTCTGAGCTACCCAAGCAAGGATAATGGAAACACAAGAAGGGAAGATGACAAGACTCGGAAATGAGGAGATTCCTTCCGGTCTCCCTACCCCACGCGTCGAGCTCAGCCTCTTTCATCAGCATGTCTCAACTACCCGAAAGGGAGCGGCGACAGAGATGCCTCTTCTAGCGGAGTGGCTTAGATCCTCCCCCCAAAACAAGACAATGAAAAACCGTTAGCCAAACGTCTTTTCTTCTTCCCACTCGCTTGGCGCTCATTCCTGTTCGGGAAACCCCCTCGAAACGTTAGGCGCGGGACTCGCCTCAAAGAGAGAGAGAGAGAGAGAAAGGGAGAGATGAGACGAATAAACGAGAACAGACAAAGAGGTCAGAGAACCTCGAAAGGACAGACGGTCAAGCGCCCTCGACTCCGGAAGAGGTCTGTGCAGGGCCCGTCCGTTCATCTGGGCCGTCCCCCGCGTAAGGGGCGAGGCGGACGACTTCTCGAGTCGTGCAAAGCAATATCCCCCTCGCGTTCATGATCGAGCGTCGGCGCCGGAAGCGGCTACAATCCCAAGGTTTCCACGAACCAAAGTATCCAATGAGTGCTTGCGAGATTCCCCCAAAATATGCAGAGAATGGGGACAAAGGTTCCTGCAAGTGCCGGGGTTCGGCCAAGACGGTCAAAGACGGCCTCTCTCCGTCCCCTTCTGCCGGCCAAGGAATCCCCATGAGACCATTTGCATTGGCATTATTCTCAGGAGCCTTTAGCCGTAGCCGCTTCAATGGATTCCCTGACGCGATGAAATGGGGGAAAAAACTAAACTCGGCCATTCGTCCTCTCCGCCGTGCGTAGCAGGGACACTCGTCCCTCGCTCTCGACGCAATCAAACAAGCCCACCGTCTCTCTCCCCCGACGTCATGGTCGTTATCGACGTCATGGTGCTCTCCCACGTCTTCTGACCCCCTCCCCCGTTTTAGAAGTGTAATCGCAACGCTAGAACATTCCATAAAAAGAGCCACTCCCGAGACGGACGGTCACAAATAGAACACAACATATACACACGTACAAAAACAGAACACGACATGACATAAGAAACAAGAAACAACCCGTCCCAGACCAAGGAAGCGAAGAGGGGAGCTAGCGGGCCCGAGATCTCAGATACTAGCGTGAGGACTTATGGGAAAAGAGTAAACCTTCCGATCAAATCTGAGAAAGGGGAAGGATGAGGGGCCGAGCACAAAACCCCCGAGTCTGAGAAACCAAGCCACCGCCCTTTCCATTCTCGTAAGCCCCCTCCCCTAGCGTCCCAAGTCGTACTTGGCCTTCTTTTCGCTATCGCCTAGTTCGGCCGAACGAGTCCTCTCCTGGCCGCGGAACCCCGGAACGGGGAACCCCGGAACGGGGACTGTGAAACCATGTAGTAGAAACGGGGAGGGGGTGGTTTGGGATAAAGCAACTGCAGAGCGCAGGGAAACAAGGGCCGGAAACCGGAAACTTGGGATACGAAAGAAGAAGAAAGGATAAACGTGGCGGCTCAAGTTCATCTGTGGGGAAAGGTTTCAAGACTATGGACGAACACAGTAGAGGGAGGGCGGAGCTCTGACCTCCGTCCCGGGATGCACAGACGCCGCCGAACGTGATCTCAACGTCCAACGTCGAGAGGCTCGGACCAGCGCGCCGAGCACGCGCCAGTCCCACGACCGTGGCCCGTCATCCGTTATTGAGCACGTGTCCCGGAGTCCAAGCATGTATGAGCGTGTTTGTTATTTGTTTATATGTATTTTCATTCAATCGAGTTATGAGCTAGCTCAGATCGATCCGACAATGGACCGCTCTGTATTGTTGTTGGCAATTTCTTTTCCATCGCCAATACTGTACAGAAAGAGCATGCATGGATTCACCCACGCGGCATTGCACGATTCGCAGCTTCCAAGCTTGCAGTGCTGTCATCCCCTGTCGCCAATATTACAAGGCATTCCCAAGCAGCTGCTTTTCATCCACTGTATATAGCTCTTCACTCCGCTTCTGCGTGCGACTGTTCCAGTCACTCCTACGAATGTACACAGGGGAGCTTGTAGTACTCCAACAAGCTTACCCATCGGTGGAAGGTCCGTGGGCTTTTGTTTTGACGAAAAATAAAAATAATGTAAAAGGAATGGGTGTCAAGAGGTCCGTGTGAATATGTGTGTATGTGTGTTTGGGGATGTTTTGTGCCATCCATTGGCAAGGATGTCGGGTATCCGGCGTTTGGATAGAATAGCTTTGGTATCAGGTGAAGGTGGTCAAGTGACCGAGTTGAGCACAAAGGAAAATAAGAAAAAGGGAATCCGCCGAGTGTAGTTGGAAATGCCCCCCCCGGGGTATGGTGGGGAGACCGAAACAGTCCAGGACCGAGATGTCATAGCGAAATGCTCTCGCGTCCGATCTTCGACGACACGAACGTCGCGGTGCGTGTGCGTCGAGGCCAATCAATCTCGGCGGACTTGCTCGACATGGTCGAGTGATGCAAGAAAATGGTGGTGACAAAGGAAACAAAGGACCAAGGACAATGCTGTAAAATGCCGACATAGAGCCCACCCCAAGATGCCAGATCCAAAGTGGACTCCGTACAACCATATCGAGGCGGTGCGGGGACAATATGCCAAATGCGTCTAATGCCGGGTTGTTGTTTTTTGCTGTATGTTCAAGTTGCTGTGAAGAACAGAGTTCGTAACGGTTCTATTAGCGTAACAATGTGAAGTCATCGCGGCCGTGAGCGTTAGCTGCTGCTGAGTCCGGATTGGTAAAGGCGGAATATGGGCAGTCGAATCGAATAGGGGATGGGAATGTGCAGGAAGAAAGACGCGCGGAGAAATCGATCGTCAGGCTGCTGTTGTTCGCCCTATTAGGAGATGCCGAGTAGTAGTCGACGTCTGTACGCAGGAAGAAAAAAATGGTACAGCAAGTAGACATCTTCGGGGTCCTCCAGGGAGGACCCCCATTCCCCCTTGCCAACCAAGAACGTTTGCCCCATCCACGTGTGCAGCAAACAGCGTCTGGGTGGGGGGGGGGGGGGGGGGGGGGAGTGGTGTGGGTTGTGTGCTAGTAAGACGCCATGCGACGTGCATGGCATCGTTCGCCGAGGATTGGAGAGTTGCCAATCATGGCGATGGGATCTTGTCGGAAGCTAACGCTGGGCCTAAGGCCGCCTGGGCGCGAGGGCGCGGTGGGTGATTGGTCCACGCCACAGGACTCGCCAAAGGCGAACGTCTGGGCTCTGCCGAAACCCTTGCGAGGGTTCTTGAGACGGCCCAGCTCGCGTTCGCAGGTGCGTTGGTGAGCTTCGTCCGACATCTCCACGTAGTTTTGAGGATAGCACCGGCAGCGGTGCTCAGCGAAGAAGCCGCTGTATCCTCCTTCAAGAATGTACACGTCAGGATATGTGAGTCGCGGGTAGTGCTCGGCATTGACAGTCCGGTCCTCGGAGCGGACATGGCGAGCCATCATGGGGGCGCGGTGGGCCGAGTATTCGCAGTGGAAGATGAGAATAGTGCGTCCCTGCATGGGGTGCTTGAACAGCTGAGAAGCGAGGAGGTCCTTGCTGTTGTAGTTGACGGCGCCGTCGATGTGACCACCGTCGTACTCGTACTCGAAGCGGCAGTCAATGATCATCTTCTGATCGAACTTTTCACTGTACTTTCCGTCCAAGAGATCAATCATGGTCTCCCTCGTGATGCGCGGAATGGTATCGGTAGGGTCATCCAGCAGAAAATGAGGCAGCAGGGGCTCCTGTACATCATCGGCGTCCATGCTGGCATGGGACTCAGGGGTGGTAGGCGAAGAGTCGTCGCCTTCCGACTTGGACTTGACAACGTCGCCGGGGTGCTCGAACATGCTCAGGGAGCGGCGGTATTGCTTGCGGGGACGCATGAAGGGATTGGAGGGCCGACGGCCGTGAGCACTGCCAAAGGGGCTGCTGCGGTTGCCGGAGAGGCTGGAGAACTGATGACGGGGACGAACGGCACCGGGCACGGCGGGAGTAGGGCTGTTGGCAGTCTGAGGTCTTCTTTCCTGGGGAGGCGATGTGGCATCGAAGCACTCTCCGAGGGACATGGCACTGTTCATATGCGCCAAACGATTCTCACCAAGCCGGAAAGTGGGGAGCTGGTTGTCTGTGTTGGAACGGCCGGGAACGCCACTAGTCGAGTAGCCTTTCATCCGAGTCAGGGAAGGCCGGCGCATGCCTGGCTTTCTCCGTCTGCCCCTTGTGTTAGACGCGACCCCTTGAACTAGTAGGAATGTGGCAATCAAACTTACTCGGCCGCCAGTGGCTTGGGTGGTTCCAGCGATGCCTGCCGAGGAATGGGGGCTGGCGAGTCCAACATCATCTCGTCGTCTTCGTCGCCCGTAGGGGTAGAGCCGGGCGTCGGTGACGTTATGGAGATGTGGGTCATGAACGGAAGCTTGTGCGGCAGCGGCGAGACATCCATCATCTCGTGATGAGCCGGCGACGATTCGGGCATAGGAGGCGTCGTCACGTAGTCTGTCATATTATCAGCATCACCATGCCTCTTTGCAGCGTAGGCTGTCAGGGCTAGTGCTCACCATTCGACTCCATGTCGCCCGTCATGTTGGACGTGAACAAGGCGCGACGAGGCGTCGGGAACTTGGGGCTGGAAATAGTGTTAGTTACGGTATGTTTCAAGTTGTTGGATGCTATGCGTGCACGCATGCAGTTTGCCATACCTTGACTCGCTGTCCAGACGGAAGTTTTGTGAAAGGTCAGCGGCCAGGCTGGCGGCGGGCGATGAGCCGTGAACGTCCTTGACGTTGAAGTAATCGCCGGGCCTGTGAAGCTGCTCCCGCAGGCTGACGGGACCAGCCCCGCCGACGAAAGCGTGAGGGCGAGGACGGAAGAGGTCCTTGTTTCCCCAGCAAGGCACGGACATGGGACGGTGCATAGCCGCCAAGGGTGAAGACGACTCCATGATTGCAAATGGGTCAAGGAGGGGGGCTCCGAGGTGTGATGTTGAGCCCGATAGCGAAAGTACTATTTAGTTGCGGTGGTGGTGTTAGTCGTGTGTAGTAGTGCGTGGTTGGAGAGCGCTGCGTCCAAGACAATACTCGATATGCCGTGACGAGGGATGTTGTTAAAACGAGAGGCAATCGTCAAAGAGACCGCAAGAAGAAAGCTGCGGTGGTTGGTAAGATGGTTGCTGGTTCGATCCTTGCCACTCAATGGAGGATCAGACACAAAAGGTTCTAGTCGACGTCGGGTGAGTTGGTCGGGTATTAATCGAAACTGCGAGCGGGACGGAATCTGGCTTCTTCTTTTCGATGTTGGGGTCGAGAGCGAGTTGAGGTGATTGCAGCGAGGTGTAGATTCGTGCGAGTCTAGAGTGCGCTTCGGCTGGGATCGAGGAGTTGGGATAGAGAGGCCGTTCGTTATTGCGACGCTGTAAGTAACATCGGAGAGGCGGGGCGATGAACTGAACTTTGGGAGTGAATTGCGAATTCTTTTCCCTCGGAGTCGTGCACTTGGTTTTCGTCCTCCTGCAAAGACTCTGGGTCGAGGTCGAGGTCGAGGTCGGCGACGGCGACTCTTTGGGGGAAGAGAGGCGAGGCCGGTCCGCGATGGGCCCTGGGGAGTGGTCGGTGGGCGAGAGTTGAAATGGGAGCGAGACGGTTTTGTTGCATGGAACGTCCTTCTCTTCGAGAATGGCCGACAATCCTTCTGCCTTGGTCGGTAGTGCCTAGGAGCAGGAGCAGTGCGGTGCGGGATGCAGCAGTGCGGCGGTCGGTGTCGTTGTGCGTTTCGGAGGCTACGACCTTTAGTTCTCGCTCGAGCTACGCTTTTTCGGTGGCCGAGCAGAGGGAAGGAGAGAAAGCGAGAGGATCCGAGAGTACACCAAGAATATGACAGAGCAGAGGAGCAATGCAATTCCTTGGTATCTAGGTAGTGCCGACGAGCAGGTTCTAGTCTTTGCAGAAAAAACAACAACCCAAAGTTCCTTTTCTTGTCTATTTTCTTTTTTGTTTCCTTTCCCCAATGCCCGACAGGGGAAGCAGCGTGCAAAACAGAAAAGACAAGGGGTGCTTGATTTGTGTGGATTTGCCAGCAAATTGGGCAGGCGTCGAGTATATGTCCGGACGATGCTCGGATAACGGTTGGGATGGATGTATGGGCGTAAGCGCGGTGCGGCGTTGAAAGAGAGTGAGATCTGAGATATAATGGATTTGGGGTGCACGTTGAGTACGATAAGTTGTAGAGAACGGCTGGTCCTAGAAGGGGGGAGACCTTTGAACCTGGGAACCTGAAGCGAACCTGACCTTTTGACCAAGGTATCTGGAACGAACTTCTCTAAACCTACCGTACCGTCGGACCGTTGATGGTATGCTGGTCGGGGATGAGGGGGAAAGAAGAGAGTGGGAGGGAAGAGGTCGGAAGAAAGAGGATACTAGAGATATTTGAATAAAGGTGGTGGTGTAAGGTGAGCCGGCCCAGAGATGGAGAAGCAGAGGGTGTGTGTGAGAGAGCGAGTGATGGGGTGGGATACCATGGAAGCAGCAACCAAGCAACGACCAGAAACACAATAGCCAGAGCGAGTGCGTCGTGAAAGAAAGAGGGTGTGTGTGGATGACAACGTGAACCAGGTCCAGGAAGGGAACTCGACGGGGTGGATTGAGACTTGACTGGGATTGGGATGTCACTGTCAGTTACTAGCTAGCCCAGGATGGATGGATGATGGATGTAGTGGACTGGACGGGGGGGGGGGAGTGAGGGACGGACATGTTCGACTAGGACTGGGACTAGAAACTGGAAACTGGAAACTGGAAACTGGAACAGGCACAGGTACAGGAACAGGAACAGGAACAGGTACAAGATGACATACTGCGTATGACATGTTAACCTTGGTATTAAGGTGGTATGTACGAAGTACCTGCATGGTCGATAGTGAGAGCCCCGACAAGAAGGCAAGTACGGTCATGTCTGTATGTACCTTATTCCTCGTGCCAGAAGAAACAGCCCGAAGCCAGCGAGAAGCGAGGAAGAGAGAGGAAGGGCGGGGGGCCAGATCAGGGAAGCGTCAAACGGGGGAGACCAGCCTAGACAACGGATACCTTACGTAGTGGTGAGCCAAGGTGCGGATAAGGTAGGAAGGGCGACCAAGGGGGGATGGTACCTTCCTGTTGCTGAGTCTGCGCGGGGTACGTACACAAATACTTACGTGCCTACCTCTTACCTGGTGCTTAACTAGGTAGTTACCTACCGATCTAATGATGTACTGTATGTACGTACTATTTGTAACGATGCCCTAGGTACCTACCTACCTGGATTCTTTTTTTTTTTGCCCTCTCTTTCGCAATGGGATAGGATGGGGGCCTGGGTCGATGGAGCCTTTTTTTTCTTTCTTTCCTTCCATGGATGATCTATCCGTACCCTCCGTATAACCACCGGCCATGCAATCACCTTTCGGCAACCGGTTGTCAGGGGCGATTTGGTTGCTGCTGCAGCTACTGCAGACCTGCAGCTGCGTCAGAGTCTGTCTTCTGGCTGGACGGAAACGACAGGGGGTCGCGATGCAGGTTCAGCTGGGTATCAGAGATGGATTGGATGGATGGATCGTGGAGCCCATTGCGCCTTGCTTCCTGTTTGCCAGTTTCTGTCCAGGCTGGTCTGATTACCTGTGTATGGCCATGTATCTGTCCTGTCCTGTCCTGTCCTGTCTCTCTGTCTGTCACTGCAAGAGATAGTTGCATATATAGTCCATATACCACGGTACCGAACCACGATATTACCTGTTGTATATACGTGGCACGCGTCCGCTATTGGGCAAAGCACACCTCGATATGGAGATGATGGATATAGTGTACAGATGCAGATAATGCATCCAGCACTTGCTTGCATCTGATGCACCATTGCATTAGGGTAGTGGCGCGCCATGCCATGCCATGTTGCTTGCATGCGAGAAGGCATAGCCCCGGTTTCTAGTCTGTCCGTCTGTTTCCTTCTGCGCTGGCTGCGTTGCACTGTTTCTCATTTCCACAGGGCCATACCCGGCAATACACCTGCACCTTATTCTAGCGTCCCTCCCTCCCTCTCTCTCTCTCTCTCTCTCCTCCCTTTCAACACGTTGCCAAGGCAGAGACACACAGGGGAGATGTATGTGTGTGTGTGTTCCCTCAAGACTACCTACGCTTGGTTTTGCTTTCTCTGCCCTGCGTCCAATGCTTCGCCTGGTTCCTTCTTGCCGGGCTATGGGGGTTGTTGAGGAAAATGGAAGAGAGGGGGGGGGAAAAACCCCCAAATGGTCGGACCGGTACCCTGCCTCTTCTCTACTCTAGGTGCCGTGGCAGGGCAGAGAACGTGCAAAGAGCACGTGGCCGGCATTCGGCCTCTCATGCCCGGCTCCTCACATTAGCTGCATCGGAGCTGAGGAGCAGCTTCGCTGGCCGACTGGACTGACCCCGGTTCTCCCATCTGTGCTGTGCAGCAGTAAAACCCGGCAAGAATCGTCCCTATCATCCAAATGCCCTGCCCTCCCAGCCAACGCGCTCTTTCTGTGCTCTGCCGCCTCCTGCTCGGTGCGGTGCGCAGCACTCGCAACGCCGGCACGAGCACAAGCACAAGCACAAGCACAAGCACAAGCAGTCGGTCAATGGGCAATAAATGGGCAGTGAGCAATAAACGGAAGAGAAAGCGGAAGCAAGCAACGGCTCTAAACCGCAGATACGAAATACCTGGCCGAACTGGCCTGTGTCCATCAAGACAAGACATCAATTCCATCACTTACAGACGACACGCCCCCAAATCCACTCGTCCACCCACCAGCACCACATTACCGACATGAACCACGCCCGCATTCGCCCTGTCGTCCCGCGAGGTGCCCCGGGGCGTCTTCCGTGCGTAGCGTACCTTACAGAGGGCATTTGCTGCACCGGACATGGCATCCCACGCCGACGCCGCGCCCCCCCCCCCCCCCCGTCACCTTCTGAGTCTCCAACGACTCAGCCGCCCAACAACGCCGTTGCGGCGTACAGGGGGCCCAACGTTTGACCCCAAAATCCCCTGGAAAACTTTCCTCCCCCTTACGGTTGCCGCAACGATTGACGATGGGTTGCAGGCCGGTTGCTTACCGCACTCTAGCGAGCGGCGGCTTTCCCATATTCACCCCACCAAGCTGCCCCAGGTGACGATAGTACGAGATATTTCTATCAGATGAGGCGTCAGCCGTCAGGGGCCTCTTCCATACCATATGCCTAGTAGGAGCTATTCTGATCTTCCCTCTCTAACTCCGCTGGCGTGGTCGAGATGGTTTTACGGCCCGCTACGTGCACGTACCCTACTTGCGTCGTCCTCCCGTGGATTCTGTGCCATCCAAGGGGTAGCGTATGTACACACAGTATATCAAGACAGTAACTAATGTCACGGAGAAGAGCGACGACGCCTGGTTGGTCTGGTCCCGTCCGTGGTCCCTAGGGCTCAAGTGGTTCCCGTGCTTCAAATTGTCAAGTCGTCGCCCACCCGGTCGGTCTTGTTCCTGTCTGGCGTTAGGATGGGGGTCTCTGAGAAGAGTTTTTGATGCCCGCAGTGGTCCGTGAGTCTTGCACTTCTGCACCTCCGTGTGGACTGCCCGATGGTCTGTGGTCTCTGTGACCGCCCATCACTGGAGCATCCAAGACGGTCGCCGGGCAGCTTCTGGGACACAGGATCCAGACGGAACTCCTGTCAAACCATGCGAACCAGTAAGCCAGTGTCATGTTCCCGATCGACCCGTCAGGGCCCCGTTGTCGTTGCCTCGGCCTTGAGAATTGCGTGTTGAGAAAATGGAACTATATCATGTCTGAGAGAGGGCCTGGTGCCCACTCCCTGCCCGTACCCTGACCTGAACGGGCCTATTGAAGCGTGTATCCAAGGGAAACGAAGGTAATAAAAAAAATACTCCTCGAACCCCAGTTGTTCTAACGCCAGTGACGGCGGAGGCAA